CCAGCTGTCAGCACTTTCAGATATGGACATAAGTGTCTGGGAAAGCATGCGGAATTATCTTTCCTAAGGCTTTTCAAGGATAATAGATTCCACCCAGATTGAATCAGTTTAAGTTCTGCCCCAGGGAAGGGACTGAATGACCCCAAGAAGCCTAATAGCCAAGAATGCTGTGGTCCTGACTCTGTCATACCCAGGATGTCCTCTGGGATGACATCAGACAGACATCTACTTCATTTGTATCCAGAGGTGGAATTTGTGGGGACTCAGCAAAGGTGACCCAGCACCCCTACTTTCAAAAACCAGTCAATGCTGTGATTTCCAAAAATCTTTTTCTGGGCAGAGTGATAATCTGAGGGTGAACTTTGATGGTGTTGAATTGATGCAGATTAAGTTTGATGGTGAGTTCCAAGTGAATGCTTGAATGGCTCAGTGCAAATCCATCCTCTCTCCAAGAAAAACATCTTTGGCCATTGTTGTGGGTTGAATTGTGTCCCCAAAAAATATGTGTCAACTTGGTTAGGCCATGATTCCCAGTATTGTGTGGTTGTCCTCCATTTTGTGATTTTTCTATGTGTTATAAATCATAATCACTGCCTGTGGTTAAAGAGGATTAGGGTGGGATGTAACACCCTTGCTCAGGTCACATCCCTGATCCAATGTAAAGGGAGTTTCCCTGGGGTGTAGCCTGCACCACCTTTTATCTTACAAGAGATAAAAGCCAAGGGAGGCAAACAGAGAGTTGGGGACCTCATACTACAAAGAAAGCAGTGCTGGGAGCAGAGCGCTTCCTTTGGCCCCGGGGTTCCTGCACAGAGAAGCTCCTAATCCAGGGGAAGATTGATGACAAGGACCTTCCTCTAGAGCCAACAGAGAGAGAAAGCCTTCCCCTGGAGCTGACACCCTGAATTTGGAGTTGTAGCCTACTAGACTGTGAGAAAATAAATTTCTCTTTGTTAAAGCCATCCACTTGTGGTATTTCTGTTATAGCAGCACTAGATGACTAAGACAGCCGTATCCTGGTAATAAGGCATTTGGGTCATGTCTCTAAAATCAGATGGAAGTAGTTTTTTCTCCAGGTACATTTTATTATCCTCATTTTACAAATTAGGAAACTGAGGTTCAGAGAAGTTAAGTAAGTCAAAGAGCAAATAAGAAGCAGAGTTGGGTCCCAAACCAAAACTGAAGCTTTTTCTACAAGCATAAAAACTAAAAGAATTTTTTTTTTTTACTCACAACTGTAGAGGTGAACTAGCGTCTTCTATTATCTGATGTAGAGTGGGGCTGGCGGTAAGGACTATGCAGCTATCAAGGCCCATGTTTTTACTCCACCTCCCAGATCCATTAAAGCCTGATTTAATCAAGTTGGGAAGGGGACAGGGAGAAAAGATAGACTCCAGCTCGATCAGATGGAAGATGTGACAACAGGTTACTATTGTCTGTGTCACTTCTCTTCTCATCCTCATTTCCTTCTCTTTTTGTCACATAACTTGTTATTTTGCACACAAATCCCCCGGGAAGGCTCATAATGAGAATGACATATTAGATAGAAGAAACTGGGAAAGCTCCAGAGAAAGTGTCAGTGTGGCTGCCCGTCCGTATTTTCATACCAGTACAAATGTGAGATTTCTCACTGTAGTGCCAAGTCCCCTCTTGCTGGTTGCTGAGCCTCATCTGCCAGAGACAAGGAGCAAACGTTCCAGCTGCCCCTGCCCCTTATGGATGCTTACCTGAGGGAGGCTTGCAACATCCTTCATCTGTGTCTGTTGCATCTGAAGCACGAAAGTTTAGAGAACTTGTTTCTTCATATGCGAGATGGGATTGAGATTGTTCAAACTTCTATTATTACTTAACTGGAATGATGTGGGTTCTGTTGTTGTTGTTAGGTGCTGTCGAGTCAATTCTGACTCATAGCGACCACATATGACAGAGTAGCACTGCCCCATAGGGTTTTCCTGGCTGTAATATTTATGGAAGCAGATAGCCAGGTCTTTCTCCCATGGAGCCACTGGGTGGGTTTGGACCACCAACCTTTGGGTTTGCAGCTGAGCACCTAACCATTGTGCCACTAGGGCTCCTGATGTGGGTTCTAATCAGGGCTTATTCCCAGTTTGCTCCCTGTTCCAAATCAGCCAGTCTGGTGAGGAGAGGCTGTTCCCATCTAACTCCAACACCTGCCTTCACTCAGAGGCCAGCCCTGAGGAGTCTGAACAACAGTGCCAACCAGGGCCACCTGGGCAACACTGCACACCTTGTGGCGGACCTTCTCTTCCCTCTGCTCTGGCCAGAAGGTGGCCTGTCACTGGGATGGCACTCTTCTAGGAGATCTCTAACTGCATCACCACCTCCTCTGACTCCTTCCCCTTCTGCTCACTTCAGTCTCATGTATCACCCAGATCTCCCTTCTCCATGGTCCCCTTACAGTGAGTGACGTATCATTCACCCAGATCTCCCTTCTCCGTGGTCCCCTTATAGGAGTGACTTCTCCTATTCTACCCCAACTTCCCATGCTCATTTCCTAACTAGCAAAATTTAAATGAACACCAGGAAAAGTAATAAAATGGTAGTTTTTTAAAAGGTTTTGTATTGAGCTCAACAAACTCAGCTAATCAGTAGCCACTCTAATAATATTGGAGTCCTGGTGGCGCAGTGGTTAGGAGCTTAGCTGCTAACCAAAAGGTCGGCAGTTTGAATCCACAGCTCCTCCTTGGAAACCCTATGGGGCAATTCTACTCTGTTCTATAGGGTCGCTATGAGTCAGAATCAACTTGAGGGCACACAACAACAACAAAGCCACTAAAATGTATTTGTGCCTACTAAGCACAACAACTTATGTGATAGATGGTATTATCGCTCTAACTTTACATGGAGGAGTCTGAAGCACAGAGAAATTAAGGGACCTGGCCAAGGTGGCACACACAGTAGGTGGCAGAGCCAGGACCTGGACCTGAGCAGTCTGACCCCAGAGCCCTTCGCACTGTGATGATTGCATAGGTGCTGTGCTGCTCTGTCACTGCCCCTGAGTCGGGTACAAGCAGCAGAAGGAGGCCCTTCCCTCCCCACTTCCTTCCCCATTACTTCAAGCCATCAGCAACCTTCCCTGGCAGGAATGATATTTGTGTGCAGTGCCTGGTGCTCAGATATTAATAACCACTGCCAAGCACTGATGACAGGCGAGAGGTCCCAGCCCTGGGGCTTTGCAGTGTCTCCATTCAGGTTATTTTTAAACAGCTGTTTGCCATGCCCATGGGTTGAATGGCATTGTGCTTACAGCCAAGTGTCTGGGTCCCAACAGACCCCAAGGAAAGGACAGTAATCACAATATATTAATTGGAACTCTTTGCAAAACATATACTTAGTTTTTTCCTTGGGCCCAAATGCTCACACTGGTAGAGACGGTTTCAAGGCAAAACTGCCATCTTTCCACAAGGCAAGGTTCATGCCTGCAGAGGCCTTGCTATTCCTGGGGCTGGTCAGGCTAAAGATCCGTGAGGGAGGCAAACTCTGAAGGTGGGAGGGACCGGCAGACCAAGCTGCAGGTTGGCCTGGCCTGGCCCACAGCCAGGGCCCCCTCACATGCCTCCTGCCAGGTGCCCGGCCCTGACTCATGGCACCCACCTGAGCTGTGGCCCAGACCACTGTCCTGCAAGGACATCTGACCAGTGTCCTGGCATAATTTTCTGGCCACCTCAACACACTCCAACCCTCTCCATCATGTTTCATGTGGCCTGACAGGGCAGATTCTCACCTGAGGCGCCTATCATCAAGGGAGCCCCTCACAGAGAGCATAACCCATCAGCCCAGGTTTCTGTGCCCATAGCGGCCCTAGGAAAGGCCGGGTCCTCAGGGAGCTCATTTTCCCATGTTGGGGAAACATGACATCCACCTTCTCCCCACTTTGCTCAGCAGAGCAGCAGCCTGGAGCTTACAAACTAATGGTGGCAGGTGACCAGAAGGTCATCTGTGTTGGCTCAGGCGCCACAGCGCTGCTGATGGCTGTTCACTTGGCCAGTTGCTTCTTACTGTTTCTTCAGCTAAACTTTCCTGAGGGAGCCCAAGGGCCTAGGGCCATCATTAATGACAACTGTCGTCTTTTTTCTCGCTCTCTTTTTCAGATAACATCTTATTGAGATCTAACTCACATACCATAAAATTCACCTGTTTAAAGAGCACAGTTCAGTGGTTTTTAGTACATTCACAGAGTTGTGCTACCATCGCCACTAACTAATTTTGGGACATTTTCATCACCCCAAAAAGAAACCTGTGCACAGCAGTCATTCCCCATTTCCCCTCCCCCAGCCCCTGGCAACCACTGATCTACTATTCTGGACATTTCCTATCCATGGAATCATACAACGTGTGGTCTTTTATAACTGGCTTCTTTCACTTAGCCAGATGTTTTTAAGGTTCATCCATGTTGTATCATGTATCAATACTTCATTCCCTTTTTTTCTGGACAAATAGTATTCCACTGTATGGCTGTCCTATATTTTGTTTGTCCATTCATCAGTTGGTGGTTATTTGTGTTGCTTCTACCTTTTTGCTATTATGAGCAACGTACAAGTTTTTGTGTGGACATGTTCTCCTTTCTCTTGGAATTGCTGGCTCTTATGGTAACTCTAGAAAGAACTGTCAAACTGTTTTCCAAAGCAGCAGCAGCAGCGTTTTTACAACCCCACCAGCAATGTATGAAGAGTTGCCATTCTCTTTCGATGTTCACAATAACTTTCTGAGGTTGGTATTATAATCTACAACTTACAGATAAGGGTATTGAGGCTCAGAGAAGGTAAGTAACTTACCTGTAGTCACACAGCTGGCAAGTGGCAAGGCTTATACTCCAACTCTAATCTTCTGATTCCAAACACCACACTCTTACACTCTTCCCTCTGTGACCTACTGCCAAGTGTTTAACCTTTAACCCTGCAACAGCTGACCAACTGTGTTTCTCATCCCTTCCCCTCCGCGCCTGCATCACCCTGAGGAGAAGTCTTTCTGTGTTGCAGGATGTGTCGGGAAATGCTGCGTTTCTGGCCTTCACTCCCTTTGGGTTTGTTGTTCTGCAAGGAAATAAGAGGGTCCACTTCATTAAATGGTGAGTGTCTTCATTTCCAAAACAGGCTCTTTCTACCTCACCCTCTGGGGAGGGGCGTGCTTCCCATGTCCTTTGTCTGTGATTGGGCCCTTTCCAAAGCCTTGCATTGATAATGGTAGCTGGTGAAGGTAGTGGTCTCTCTCTGTGGATCCTATTCTTCCAAAGGGGTGTTCCTGAGAGCCAACAGCCTCTCCAGAGAGAAGGGGTATGATGGAATCTTGATTGCAGGGGACGACAAGAGACCTGGGGCTGGATCCTATGCTAGGGAAGCAAAGTTCCCATAAGAACTGAGTCTTTGGGACTGTCACCCACTGAGGGCCATAGCCAAACTTACAGAGCTGGCTATTCTGGGGCATCTCTGTGCCTTACCCCTGCTCCTAACCAGGGAGGGGCTCACAGACAATGACCCTTAGTGCAGGTATAAGACACCCTGTTGGTCCTTCTCAGACCAATACCCCCTCCCCAGACGCGTCCTCTGCAGGAGCTCAGATGCTGCTCTGTCCCTACCTATCCTTCTTTAGGGCTTGAGTATCCTCATTCTCTAGGAGTCACAACCCCACCCCTTCTTCTTTCCCCCTCTCTCCCCTCTCCTGCTCTCTCTTCTTGCAGTCAAGAACCACTGTCTACAGCTACTCTGAACTGCTTCCTATTTGACCTCTGTCTTTGCGGGGGTCTGTTCTGATGCATGGCTACTGGGAGCTGATGTAGCAGACTCTAATTTGCTGATTGACGTCCGGCTATCTTGGAGACTTTTGCTGGCCCACACAAACATCCTTCAACCTCATCAGAAAATTTTGCAAATTCTTTTAAGCCCCAGTGATTTCTGTACCTTCTTGGGCCTCAGGCTGCCGAGTCTAAGCTGTCCCACTGCTCCCGTGAGCTTAGACAGGTGGCGGCCCTTGGGCCAGCAGAGCCTCAGCTGAAAGCCTGCTCCCTGTCTGGGCTCCTTTGCCTTCTCTGGAAGAGCTAATGGGTGTCTGAGCAGAGAGTCACTTCCTGGTGAGCTCTCTGCTGGTGGTGCTGCAGGGCATCTGTCCTCTTCTGCTGAGCCTGTGGGGAGATACCACCTTTTCAACCCTTATTGCTCTTGTGAAGAAAGGCAATATGATGATCAACCAGAGTGCTAGTGACACTGTTCCTCAGACATGCATGGCCAGGTCCCAATCCCCAGGAAACAGGCAGCCTGGTGCCCTGGAGCATACCCATCTCCCAGGCTTTCTCAAGTTGGCCCACTTCATTGTTCTCTCTGGGTAAAGATGGTGAGGGGTTGGGTTCTCCTGCCCAACAAAATACTTTTCATAAAAAGACAATGAGCAGGATCAGGCCACAGCTCTCCTGGTAAGGAGCGCTTGCTGCCTAGATACATCTGGGTTATTTGATGTGCCATAAAGGGCCAGATCCTGGGCCACACTCTTAGAGGGCCCTGGTAGGTGCTATGTTTAGATGGAAACAAGCAGGACACACCTGTTACAGGAAGCTGAAGTCCCTAAATTATCCCTCCGCACCCAGAAGGCATGATACTCACCTGGTTCTCCCAAACCTTGTTCATTCTGTGGCTTCCTTCAAGTCCCACTTCTTCAGGAAACTTCCTCCTCACTGTGTCTTAAGTTTCTAATAATAGATGTGAACCCAGTCTCACTTTCAGGACAAACCAAACCCCCTTACTTTCCTATCTTGCTTGTTGGAGCCTAGATGATCTGTGTGCTTGTCTATATATTAATCAGTTGATGTTTACTTGTATCCTGTATGTGTATGAGTGAGGTTGATTGATTGGTTGAGAGACTGAGAGGGAATCAGACAGAGAAGGAATACCATGAGGCTTGTATTAGCTCAGAACTGGTTATCAGAAGTAGTGAACTCTGATCCTGACCCAGGACCACACAGAGCAAGTGACCTTCCTCTATCCTCTGAGTTTTGTCCATCAGTAAATTGGGTACGTGGTTCTCACTACCTTTCTGCTACTTCTTAGGATATTGAGCAAATCTCCCTAGAAACTACTAAGAGGAAGAAGCCAAATGGAGGCAGATCAGACCTCCTTCAGGGTCCCAGTTGGGTAGAAAAACAAGGACTCCACCCCCAGAGAGGTGGAGAGGGCCTTGAGGCTCCAGAGGGCAGCTCTGTTGGGCAGAAGGAAGGGAAGTGAGACGTGACTGATGCCGAGGCCTAGTTATCTGGCTCTCAGGGACATTCACCTAAGACCCTGGTAATTTTTCCATTTTGTAAACGTAACCAAGGCTGAGATCAGTATGTGGAGGTGAGGTCTAAGCTGTGCCATGTACAGTAACCATGTCACTTCTTCTGATTTGTGTCTGTCCCACGGGTGACGTACCCCAGTATCCTGTTTGCCTCTTTTACTGCAGCCATTCACTGGGCTGGTGGCTTCAAGGATTTTTCTACAAAACCCCCTAAGCCCCTTTCCTGGTCAGTACGCTGCATGACTGTTCCATGTACTCTGTTCTCTCTTTGGTATGTTGCCCCACCCCCTTCCCTGAGACTGTTTGACATTTGTCTGCATTAAACTGCATTTCCCATCCAGTGGCACAGTCACCTGAAAGACAACTCCCTCAGAACCTGGTTGCATTGTTTTCCATTATTTGCTGTATCTTGAACTTTGGCCTCATCAGCTACCTGTGGCATCTTACGTTTGACAGTCCCATCCAGATAATGCACCTGTGTTATGAACCAAACCCTGAAATGACCCTGGACACTCTACCTAGACTCACTTCCCACGCAGATGTTTCCCTTTTGCAGCCATTCTTGATGGGCCCGAAATCCTCCTATCACCCTATTATTATACTGTGATTGACTAGAAAACTTTGGATTGAACTGTTCCAACAACTGTTCTCTAAGGCCACTGCGCTGCTGTCTTGTTTCAGTTCTGATTATGGCTAAAATTGTGTCTGTGCCTGGAGCCCTCCAGTCTGGGTGGGCTGTGCATCTATAAGACTTTGCTGTGGACAGGCAGCCCACAACAAGGTGACAGGCACTCTCTTTGTGCTTCTAGGAATGAGGTGACCAAGCTGAAATTTGAAGGGAAGACTTTCTATTTATACGTAAGTCAGAAAGAGGTGAGTAACAGCTTCCTTCTCTTCAGGGAGGGCTGGGGCAAACACTGGGTTGGTTTCTGATGGCCAAGGCCGAGTCTAGTTGGTTCAGGTAGAACTAAGACCTACATGCTAAGCCAAGACTCAGATCAAGCCCTGGAGGTGACGTATGGAGGGGTGGCTGGGCCCTGGAGCACAAGACTTCCTCAGTGATGCGAGTGACACCCCAGGGTTCCATCTGAGAGATCCCTACCTCCAGGAAATGCAGTCAAAGTAAGAGTCTTTGACTTCCACGGGAAAATTCCAGGTGGGGTGCCACTTACTAGCCAAGGGCTCTCTTAGTTCAATTAGTACCAACTAAGACTTACTCTGACTGGACTTACCAGGTGTGAATTTACCAGAACTGAGCTCTCCCTCAGTGGATCCTGTAGGCCTTCTCTTCCAACTAGCCAGCTGCTGGGCAGCCCCTTCCCCATCTGAAGCTTCTCACTGAGAGTCTATTGGGGAGCCCTCCACAGTTTAGGGGTCAGTGTCCTGGCCTGCTTCACCCATCACTTCTCGATCTACACTCAACTGTTTCTATATGAAATTTTTTGTAGGAAAAGAAAATTATTCTCACATATTTTGCTCCAACTCCAGAAGCCTGCAAACACCTCTGGAAATGTGGAATTGAGAACCAAGCCTTCTACAAGTAAGTGGACTCATGCAACGGGGACTGTCTTTATCAGAACCAAAGTCATGAAGGAGGCTTTTAGAGGAATGAGAGGCCGGCAAACTGATATCCTGAGAAAGGAGGCATGAGATTTCAAGGCTTGGTTTTCTTGTAAAACTCAGACCACTTTCTGGATGTCTTTCTGTACCCCTGGAGATACAGAGCCAAGATCTAGGAATGTGTTTCAGTTGAGTTACCCAACGGGCCTGTCTTGGGATGTCCTTGGATAGCCTCCAGTGGGTCTTTTTAGGGTAAGGCTTGGGTTAGAAGAAACCCATGGGTGCCTAATATAATCAAGCCCCCCTATGGAGCTATTCAGAGCCCTGGGCAGTCTGGAATACACTAGCTCCATAGAGGACCAGGTATAACCCAGAGCAGATTCCCTAGCACCAGGCCCCAGCCCTGGAAAGCCTTGGAGAAACTCTGGGGTCTGCTTCCCAGCTTCCCAGTGAGGGGTCTGGTGCTGAGCTGAGGCTGATGCCAGCCCCTCCCAATGCATCACTGCCAACGGGATTGCCAATGACAGGCCAAGTGCCCAGGAGCCAGGGGAGGAGGCAAGAGCTTGACTGTTACGGAGAAGACAGGTTTGGGCCAAAGGCAAGAACTTTGGTTACCAAAGGATTCTGTAAAGTATGTGGGTCTTTCGCCATGAGTTGGAATTGACTTGACGGCTGTCCATTTGGTTTTTATGTGGAGTTTTTGTGTTCAGTTTTCTTTGATTAAGAAAGTGGTTCTAAAAACATTAGGGAGCAAAAAATGGCCCCTTGAGAAACTGGGGTGATGCCAGGCAAAGCATGTTTCACTAAACCTCTTAGTCTTGTTTAAAACAGAATGTAATGGTTTATGCTTTAACAAGCTGGGTTTTAATCAGGAAACAAGACAAAGTGTGTGGTATACTGGCTGGGATGAGCCCTGCTGTCTCTGATGCCCTGCCAGGCCCGCTTCCTCTCTGGAGGGCCCTAGAGAGAGCAGAATTGCTCTGAGCTGTGTAAGCACCATCCCCAGCACACAGACTCTCTGCTGCCTGCGGTCTGCTAGGGGATGCGGGCTGGCAGAACTGATCTCCTGCTTACCAGGGCCACGGCTCCAGAGGTGGTTTTGAGGGGGGCTTTCAGAACTGCTTACTAATCTTTAAGTAATGGATACCAGAATCAAAGATGAACTGAATGGACAGCCTGAACACTAACCCGAGAAGTCTCCCTTCTTCTCCTGAAGGAGGAGAAACTTAGAATAGACTTTGGCATGGTCAGATTTCTTTCCTGTTCAGTCCCTCCTGTCCAGGGAAGGCCAAGAAAACATTTATTGTTGTTAGCACATTCCCTTTGCCTGTGAGGACAGAGCCCAGGTTTAGCCAGTTACATGAACCTGGAGAGAAGCAACTTGAGATGAAAAGTTTCTTGCTTGTAGGACTAAAGAACAGCCCAGAAGAACGAGGCCCCCGGGATCTCCCCAACAGAGAGGAAGGCATGAGCAGACACCGAGCTGTCACTGCCCGGGGCACAGGTCTAACAGAAATGAAAGCAACCCCCGTCTCCTATATTTTCAGGCCTTAGCATCATTTCTGAAGACCTTTTGTTTTCTGTCTGTATCATGGGAACTGAGTTGTGCTTTTGAACCTGTGACCAAACTCAGCTTCTGAGTCTCTCCATCAGTAGATGCCCACTTCTAGCCGCTCCTGCCAGCACCCTCACTGGAAACGGAGGTCATTTTTCACTGTTTTTGGTTGACTACTTAATGTTCTAACCGAGTGTGAAAAACCTCTCCTGGGCCAGATCCCCAGTTATGCCAAGTCTCCGGCAGCAGCCACTTTGGCCTCACTCTGGGCATCCCTCATGTGCAGATCCCTGGCCCTGCCTTTGGCCTAGTACGTTGAAGGGAGCCCGGTCAGACTTGGAGAGCATGCTCAGGCAGAAGACGAGTGGGCACAGAGCCTCATGGGGCTGTGAGACAGGTGGGAATGGTATCTCCAGGGGGCTATGTTCATGAATTGTGGGGACAGCTCCCTAAACGCTGCCCACTCTTGGCAAAGGTTTCACCCCTGGCTGGATCGGTACTGTGGTGTGGCAGGGTGAGCCAGGTCTTGGGAGACTTCTCTCTGGGCAGGTCTGGCCAAGCTTCCTTTCCACAGTGTGAGAGGGTTAATGGGATCAGAGAAATCTCCCAGGAGCAGGCTTTATAAAGCCCATGACTTCCAGAGTCTTCTTATCAGGGGCCAGCAGCCTGTAAGTGATGTTAATAGGTATTCTCAGGGAGGAGGGATGGTCCTGAGTTCAAATAAATTATGGAACTTTTATTAAGTTAAGCTAGTTTCTTCATTGCAGGACTTCTCAGAATCTTTAATTTGCTAATATGCTTTAGGACTCTCCAACAGGGAGATGGAGTAGAAAGGACGGCCCCTACCGTTTTCTCCACCCAGGCATGGATATGAGTCATGAAATATGCGGACTGGAAGGGACCTCTAAGGTCAAGCAGTCCCAGCTCCATCATTTCATAGATAAGAAGACTGACGTTAAGACAGGCAAAGAATTTGCCCAAGATCACACTGCTAATAAGTGGCCTGGCTGCGATTAGATAAGTGTCATTCTATTATTCAACCAGACCATCATCACTCACGTTAATTCACTCAGTCCCCCTGATGGTCCTATGAAACATTCTTAAGATGCCTCTACTCTCCTGACATTAAAATGGGTTTCAATATAGCTGTCCTCTGGCACTGAGGCAGGAGGGCAGTTGGCTGTGAGCATAGACTTCGGGTCCTCAAGGAGGGTCACAGACACACGTGGGCTCTGGAAGGCTCTTTCCTGAATAGAGTTCCCTAAGCAGCCTTTGGAAGGGGCTGGGGATGCACTGCCTTGGCCCGTGTGAGGCCGCGCCTGGCCTTTGTCACACTGGACTTTGCCTTGCTGCAGGCTGGAGAAGTCAAGCCAAGTCCGCACAGTGTCCAGCAGCAATTTGTTCTTCAAAGGGAGCCGGTTCCGATACAGGTAAATAGTGACTGTAAGTAACAGTTATGGATCCATTCTCAGACCCATCTCTGGAGAACAGCTGCTCAGTGGCCCTTGCCCTTGAGAACAAAGAAACTGGGGACCTCCCAGAAAAGCCAGAGGTTTTTATACAGTTCTCCTGTCTCCTATCCCTTTTACTATTTCTTTCCTTCCCTACAGCTGTTTGTCTATAAGGTTTAAAATTTCTATCTTTTCCTCCCTTCCTTACATCAGCAGCAAAATAGAACTATCACAGTGATTCTTTTCATGTCTGCTGTTCAAAGTTTTGTTTTGTTTTTTTAACGATGTTATTGGAACACACTGGACAATGAGGAATCATTCCCAAATGGGAATGGAAGATCCCAAAGACTCCAGAGATAGAGAGAGCCCTGTAAGACAGGCTGTCAGGATATTTTCGGACTCTCTACCCCACAAGCAAGCCTTTCTCAGGGACGAGAATGTTGGGGAAGGGGTAGGCCCGAGAGGCCATCTCCCGATTCAGCCAAAGCATCTGAGATCTTGGAAAGGAGCCCAGTCCTGGAACACAGTCTCACTTCTTGATGCTTGTTTTTATTATACTACTTATAGTGGCCGAGTTGCAAAGGAAGTAATGGAGTCTAGTGCCAAGATCAAACGGGAGCCACCGGAAATACACAGGTAGGCTGCCAGGGGCTTTCCCCAAACCAGTTCCAGCCCAGATCCCAGAATCTCAAGAGTTTGAATACTGCAAAGATCCTGGCCACAGCATCTACCAGAAGGGGAAGATGAACAGGGCAGGAGGATGCAGAGACCATCTCAGCTGAAGGTGTGGGGAGAAGTCTTTGACCCTGGTGTCCCTGAGCCTTGATGGAGAATGAGGGAGGGAGGGCTACTTACAGATCCAGCGTCCACCTTACTGGGTCCTCCCAGGTCCTGACATTGATCATAGACCATGGAGAAGTTGTCCATTTCCACAAGTCCAAGTGGCAATATTTCACTGGTTCTGGAATGAGTCCATTACAAGAAGCCAGAGATAGCACCACGGCCCTGCCACATTGGGTGTAACAGTTTTGAGATCCATGCTTCATGTATAGCTATAAATCACGCATTTCCAGAGGCCCATCTCCTAGAACCTGACAAACCTCAGAAAAAATATAATTGGCCAAGGCTAGGATTCTTCAACCGGCCTTCACCACTGGGAATGGCATCTTTATCTCTAGCCCCTTCATGTGGAGACCCCTGCCTGCCACCTGCGGCCTCTGTTGGAAGTCAAGGGAGGCTGCCAATATTGGTTTTGAGGCACATTTTCAGGAGTACAGCTCATCGTGGGGCTCTACTCCCTGGCAGTCCTGCCCCCAGAGACCAGTGGCACTAAAGAAATGTTCAGGTGGGTTTGGGGCATAAGGAGGTGAAGAAATTTGAGGCAGTATCTCTGACTGGGATCCAGAGATCAAAAGCAAAGAGACAGTATTAAAGATTAAAAAACTCAGTCCAACAGTTCTAGCAGCAAGGACTCGAATTTAAGTCCCTACCACATTTGTCTATGCACTGAGTTAACAGGGTCTTCTTCTTTAACCTCAGAGCAGGGATGGTTCCAAGTCAGAGCTGCCCCTCCATAACCCACGGCCCAAGGCTGAGCAGTGTCCCCAGGACCCGCAGAAGAGCTGTCCACATCTCCATCATGGAAGGTGAGCATGAGCTGCTGGAGATGCCTGCTGGGTTCCTCCCTTGTGACTTGGCTGGTTCCTCCCCAGGGACCTTGAAAAGAGGCTAGCTTGCATTAGAGAAAGCAGGCCAGTTCTCAGAGGAAAGAGCTTCCAATGGTAGGGAGAAGGTTTTCGCCAGGGCATGGGAACACTGGCTGGGCGTGCCAGTGGTGATCTATAAGGTGACAGGGCATCCCACCCAGCTCTGCTGTGCCATAGCCCACGACGGGGATTGCAGATCTGAGTGCTGGGTTGCTTTATGGATGGATGTGGCATCTACCAGGTTCCATACAGTTCTGAAATTGCTTTCCATCAAGAGGTTTTCACTTGTTTTCCAGATCTGATTAATTTTAAATGATCAAGGTGACTGAGGCAGTTAACGAAGAAATGAAAACTCTTCATTCTGAAACATTCCAGTAGCTACCGCCATCTTCTACTTCAGTTATACAGATCTGTCCTCTTGCTATCTAAATTATCATTGTCTCAGGAAACGTAGTTCATCTCTCTCCACCTTTTTCCTCCCTTTGAGAGAGGGAGAAGTGGAAAGAGTCTGTATCTTCAGTGAACTGGATACTCTCAAAACTGAGGCCAAAATATCTACTCTCTGGGAGGTTAAGAACAGCGTTAGGAGACTTGCTCTGAATATCACCCTCTAGCGGTTCTCACCCATCCAGCTTGCTCCACAGGCTGAAAACAGGTGTAACGTCGAGTGCTTTCCCTCCTGAAGAACTCAAACAGCGGGAAACAGCAGGTCTCCTGGGATTGATGGCGTGGAGGCTGGGGAAAGTGTCTTTGCCCTTTCTCGGAGAATGCTACTGTTAATGAAAATGAGTTGTCCAGGTTGGGAAGGAGTTCTCTCTGCTGTCCTCCTGAGAGAACATCTGGTACGTGTTTAGGATTTTATGATGTTTCATTATGAGTCTGAGGCTCCACATCACCTGGGTAGGGTATATAAGGTCTGGAGGTTGGGAACCCTAGCCGGGCAACTACCATCAAGTTGCTGAATTATTTGAGTATCTTAGGTGCTTCATTTGTAGAACAGGGGCATCTTCTTTGCCTACCCCGAGGGTTTTGAGAAAGCTAATATATGCAAAAATATTTTAAAGCAATTAAGGCACTGACTAGGCAGGCAGCAAGCACAGTGCAAAGAGCCCTGGTCAGGAAATCAAAGAGAAAGGTACAAACCTGAGCTCTGCCACGTACTTTCTGGGGCAGGTTGCTTCACTTCTCTGAGCCCATTGCCCCCACGGTGGCCTCCGTCTCAGCAAGGGTGCGGGAGAGTGCCTTGTAAACCATCAAGTGCAGTTGCTATGCAAGGGAGGGCAGTTACTGAGCTCTGCCTGCACTTAGCCTCCTGGCTTTTCCTCCTGTCTTAGGCTGAGATGGAGAACTACGCGTGGCTCTCGCCGTCCCTCTTTTGGGGTGTTCACCTCAGAAATGGGGGAGAAATTTCTTCTTCTCTTGAGGAAACATGACTTTCTTGCCTCTCTGTGGCCCTTTCTTCCCATATATGAGGAAACTGAAGCCACCAGATTCATCCCAAGGCTCTTATGGAAAGTCGAGACAGCTGTCCTTCCAGAGGACACTAACCCCGGGTGCTCTGCAGCTGGCACTAATGCAGGGTGTAGACCAGGAGAGGAGCCTCGCTCATTTCTGCCTCCCAGGATCTGGCAAGAGCATCCAGTCACTCAGCATCTTCACAAGAGGGAAGGCTGAAGCTGCCAGTGTGGGGACAGATGCATTTGGAGTAGCTGCCGAGTAGGGTTAGCAAAACAACTCAGAGGTGGGGACATCTGTCGTCATGTCTCCGACAAGCTGTGAGGCAGCCTCAGTTCCCAGCCCAGCCCTGGCTTAGCCTCCAGCCTGCTCCCAGAACCCAGCTTCTCCCATTGCAGCAGCAGGCTCCTCAACATCCAAGACCCCAAGACATTCACCCTTGCGTGCAAAATGCCAGGGGAAGGGGCAGTTGGTAGAGGCTGCTGTGGAAGCTACTAGAGTATAGTCCCCCTAGGGCCAGGGGCATTTCCTCCAAATCTCAGCCTCACAGAAATCCACACTTGGCAGATTATGGGCACAGCGGGCACCCAATGTGCTACTCACCAAGCCAGCTTGCTCTTCAAACCCCATGCACAAGGCTGCCTGCAAACAAGCACAGCCTACCTCCCCCTCATGGTGGCCTCCTTCCTGAGGTGAACACCCCAAAAGAAGAGGGACGGTGAGAGCCACGCGTAATTCTCCATCTCAGCCTAAGACAGGAGGAAAAGCCAGGAGGCTAAGTGCGGGCAGAGCTCAGTAACTGCCCTCCCTTGCCTAGCAACTGCACTTGATGGTTTACAAGGCACTCTCCCGCACCCTTGCTGAGACTGAGGCCACAGTGGGGGCAGAGAGGTTAAGCAGTGGCCCAGGACCCATTACCCAGGAGTGAATAGGTGTGAGAAGCTAAGTAATCTGCAGGATGAAATGCACAGGCTCAGGATGGAGAGAAGCAGATGGAAGCTGGATACAGACTTACTGTCTGGTTTGGAGAGGGTGCGGGGATGGGGGGGACAAACAAAAAAAGATTTTCGCAATTAAGTGGCTGTGTCGGTGCAGGGATTACCAAGTCTCTGGAAATAAAGAATTCCAGGAGGTGAGCGTTCAGATGCACCATTTCTCAGTAAAGGGATGTGGTCTGTAGGGGATCAAAGAAAACAAAGCTGCCCCTAACTGTCCACCCCAACCAGGGAGGGAGGGGCTATGAGGGGTGTGATGGGGCTTCAGCAGAGGACACAACCAACCAAAACTCCAAGGGACTTCTGGACATTTGAAAACTGGTTCACACTCCATCAGAGATTGTCTCTCCTAGAGTGTATATGGTTCATAAATTAGTATCACGATAGCCATCTGACTTTTCCAAAAACCATGGGAAAAATGTATACACATACCAGTATAGTTTGAATAAAACCATGTAATCTCAATAAACCAGTACCCTTTAAAAAAACTTATGCTTTGGGTTGGCCGTGCACATGGCCCTTAGGGCTGCCAAGACAACATGTATCACCAGCACAGGCCTGAGAAGACCCTCAGTTGTGTCAGTCTTTCACCCACTGTGCTCTGTTCCACCACTCAGTAGTAGGGGGCTGATAGTGGAGTGCAGCGGAGGATGGTCACAGCCCATGTCCCACCCCAGAGCCATCTGAACTCAGTAACGCCTCCTCACATTCAGAGCCATCCAGCCCCAAACTATTGGTGACAATGTAACGTCATTGGCACCAGGGCCTGGCCTGTACCATGTGGCCTGGATAAAGCCCAGTGTTTTGGGGGCTTTCTTGATTCCTTCTACCCCTTGGGACTATTCCCTGCCTGCTCTGTCCTTCACCCTCTGAGACCTGGGGCCCTTACACAGGCCTAGGCCTCAGGGAAAGAGCGTCAGGCTGAGGAAGCATTGCTTTTTATGGCTCTGAGTGCTTCTGACTGAATCCAGTCCCCTGATAACGCTGGCCTCGCCCAGCTTCTCCTTCCAGCTGAGGCTGGGAGCCGCCTTCTCTCTCCGGCACGGAGACACTAAGGGCTGCCATGGTGAGATCAGCAAAAACCCTTCGTCCCTAGTTGGCTTTCTGTCCTCTCCCTCTCTACATCTCCCCTGCCTGGCTGGCTTTCCTGAAGAGAACTGCATGCCTGAAGAAGTACCTGCCTCCCAGGGCCACCATGGGGAAGAGCCTGATTAAGATTCACACCAGAGTCCGTGTTCAGCTCCGGGTGACCAATCACTGCTTTCGGTCCATGAGTGTTCGCATCCTGAGGATGGGGCCCCGGCTCCGGGGGAGGGTCCTGACTGCTGTGCCCCTCAGCTCTCTGGGAGCCACCTCGGGGCCAGGGAATCAGCTGGAACACCTCCAAGGTAAAAAGGACATTCCTTTGTCTTGCTGTGCTACTCAGCCGAGATCCCACCCACGAGATCCCACCCACGGCGCCCACCCCATCCATCCCAGAATAACAGGTTTGATGAGAAGGGGCAGGGCGGGTGGTGGTTTCCACAGTAGTGAACACTGAGCTGCTCATCCAGGACTAACCCGGCACAGGAATGCTAACCTTACAGGGGAGCCCTTCTGTTGAGAAAGCAGAAGACTAACATTTACTGAGTAATTTTATTTGTCAGGGACTCTACTAGAAGCACCTACGTATCCATTATCTTGTTTACTGGGAGCACCAACAACCCACAATATAATGTGGCTTCTGGGGTCCCTCTGACTTGTTCTCTGATGTCACGGCCTCTGACTTGCTTCCTCCCCAGCAAGCCTAGGACTTAACTGTAGGCCAAGCCAAGCTTGCGTTGAAGCGGCTACAGGCAGCTAAGCTGGTCAGACTTTGAAGATCTGGGCAGTCAGAACTGTCCTTGTGATAAGACAGTCCCTTGGCAGGGTGCCAGGTGCCCTGTGAAGTGGGCTGAGGTTCCAGGGGCCGGGGGGGGGGTGCTGGAGGAGTGCCTGGGTGGGGAGCCAAGCCACCAACACCTTGCAATCAGGGCCTCAAGGTTCTGGTTTATCAGTGACTCATACCATACTCCGAGTTACAAATTCCTCACATTGCAGGTGCAAATGAGAGAATCAGGAGGGAATATTGGGCAGAAGAAAAAGAGGTCAGAGGAGCATCAAGAGCTCTAGAGAGAGGGGCAGGGGCTCTTCATGTAGCTTCACAGCAGTCTCTTGGGCAGGTGGGAACTAAGTCTTAGGCAGGTGCAGGCTGTTGACTTAATTTATCCTGGCCCATTGCGCCAATCCCCAAAAGCCAACTACACGGTCAGCAGCACCATGAAGTAGAAAGAGCCTTGGATTCTGGCCTTGGCTTTGCCATTACCAACCAAGCACATGACTTTAGGCAAAGTTCTGTGACTTCTCGCTCTCACTACTTCATAGAGTGTTTGAAGGATAAACTGAAAGTGCTTCAGAAAGTTTAAAACATTATACACGTTTAAGATTTTAGCATGAGGGCAAACAGAATACGCTGGGACCGTGAGGAGGCTGAAAGCAGTTGAGAGCTGTGATAAATACAGTAATGGCACGGCGGCGGGGAATGTAAGCAGGGAGCAAGTGCCCCACTTCCCACTCCTCCTCCTCGTTCATGCCCGATTCTCAATTCTTGGGGTGCACCCCTCTGGAGAACCCTTAACTGTGCCTGTGCTGAGACGGCCATCCCACAAGGGAGCCAAGGAGCACGTGACACTTTGAAAAGTTGTGATTCCTTTTTAAGAGACCTTTGGGCTTATGGAACTAGCCCTGAGGGTGAATAAAGTGAATAGTGACAAACTCCCCTATCAGCCCTAGTTAGGCCAAACCTTTACCAGCCTGGGAATCTGGTTCAGCCTGGGAACGTTAGGGTCTATTTCAAAGCGACAGAAGGGGGCTGCAGAGGCAGGGAGAGCCACGCTGGCACCAGAGATGGCCAGGAGTGGAAAAGGCTGACTTTGTAGCTGCAACAAGGAGCCCTTTTCTCAGGAGCTGCAATAGGAGCCCAAGTCCTCTAGGCTGTGGGGTTGCTGTTGGGTTGAGGGTGTAACCAGCTCCCGTTTGTTCCTGCCATACCTTAACGTGATGCAGTGGTTGAAGCGCTCAGCTGCCCACCAAAATGTCAGTGGTTCGAACCCACCAACTGCTCCATGGGAGAAAGGTGTGGCAGTCAGCTTCCATAAAGATTTACAGCCTTGGGAAGCCTATGGGGCAGTTCTACTCTATCCTATAGGGTCGCTGTGAGTCAGAATTGACTCAGCGGCAGTGGGTTTGGTTTGGGGCTGAAAAAAGAAAAAACTTTCTTTCCATCTGAGAAAGAAAAAGGATAAATGGGTAGCTTTAGGGACTGGAAGACCCCACCCTCCTAGCAAATGTAGGCGAATCCCTCCCCAACCCCCACCCCAACCCAAACAGATCTCAGGGGCTGCGTACCTTGAGCTCTGGAGGGTCTCAAAGATACGGAGCTGTTCCCGTCACTCTGTTCTAGACCCAGCAAGGGGCTCTGCTCATTCAAAGGTGAAAAGAGAGGGGCTGCCCAGGGGACCTCCCCCCGCCTCCATCTGGAAGCATTTAGGAGAGATGGGCCTTTCTCTGTCCCAATGTCAGGACAGCTGGGACTGGGGGTGGCAGCAGAGACTGACAGCAACTGCAGAAATCCGACAGGACCTGGTGAGCTTGAGGAGCTGCCTGCGGGGCTGGCATGAGGACACTCAGCCACAGAAGCAGTTAGTATTTGACAAAACCCAAATAGGCACAGCACGCCCCCTTGCTCCCCTTCCTGCCTCTCAAGGCCCTCAGCCCACAAGGCAGACTTGAGCCCCCTGCACCGTGGCCCCAGCTTTGTCCCCGTGGATCAGGGACAGGCTGCGACTTCAGTTCTCTTCCAAATGGGGGCTAAAATCAGGCCCAGGACACCAGAGGTAGGAACCTTAAAAAATCAGGCCAAAGCCAGAAGCAAAAAGAAAAACAACTCTTCCAACCACGGCCACTGGCTTCTGTGCTTCTCTTGTCCTGCTCTTGACACATCAAGCTGGAGTGCAGTGGCCGCGGCTGCTGGTCATGTGAGGGGCACGGGGGCTCCCTCTTTAGATTCAGGAACCAAATCAAGCAATGGGTGCCACCTCCCCTGGGCAGCCCAGCGTGCACTGTGACATGGAAAGCCGACCATGTTCCTTTTGCTCCCCAGGCCTGGAGTCCCTCCGGGACAGTGCCCACTCCACCCCAGTGCGCTCCTCTTCCCACGGGGACACCTTCCTGCCTCACGTGAGGAGCAGCCGGGCAGATAGCAACGAGCGAGTGGCTGTGATCGCAGACGAGGCCTACAGCCCCGCGGACAGCGTGCTGCCCACCCCTGTGGCCGAGCACAGCCTGGAGCTGCTGCTGCTCTCCCGGCAGATCAATGGGGCCACCTGCAGCATCGAGGAGGAGAAGGAGTCTGAGGCCAGCACCCCGACTGCCGCAGAGGTGGAGGCCCTTGGGGGAGAGCTGAGGGCCCTGTGTCACGGGCACGGCGGGCCTGAGGAGGAACAGGTGAATAAGTTCGTTTTAAGTGTCCTCCGTTTGCTCCTTGTGACCATGGGACTCCTCTTTGTTTTGCTCCTCCTCCTGATCATCCTTACCGAGTCTGACCTTGACATTGCCTTTTTCCGAGATATCCGCCAGACCCCCGAGTTTGAACAATTCCACTATCAATACTTTTGTCCCCTCAGGCGATGGTTTGCCTGCAAAATCCGCTCAGTGGTGAGCCTGCTCATTGACACCTGAGAAGGCATGACTCCTCCCAATAACTAGCCAGGTGGACCAAGGAGAGCCCGGCTACCCATTCCCAGCAAAGGGACCCATCGTGGAACCATCGGCACATATACCAAGTCCTCCTCTCATGACTCAAAGTCCACTGCAGCCTAGGAGGGTTGTTTCCCAGAAGAAGAAAGGGACAGGCTCGTGCCCTGTCAAAACAAACTGGGAAAATTCATTTTCTTCAGAGGTTCTTTCAAGAAAGGCTCAGCAACTCTCTTTCTCATCCTTCAATTCGCAGGATAATTTTTGGTTTTGAAGTATGGTTTTTCATAGATGTGTATTATTTTGAAAGTATCAAATAAAAATAATTTATTTTACTATTACTGATTCTCGCGGTAGTGTCACCCAGCAGACAGGACACTAGTTGAAGACTAGAGACAGCTGTCTTCTGTTTTCTGCAGGAGCTTTCCTAACGGTGCTACTGGGTTCCAGTAGACTCGTCACTGCAGCCTCAGCGGGACAGGCCAGGGGTCTGGCCAATGGGGACTGTTGAAGTATTCTTGCCAGGCAGAACTTTTAAAAAAAAAGTAAACATCCATGTAGAATGATTAAATGGAAAGTTGTTTCTTATGATGGTCTGAGTTGGATTTTCTTTTCCTTTTGTTTTTTCAAATCTGAGCAGAGTGGGCATCTGAAGGGACCAGCTACAGCAGCAGCAGCAGCAGCAGCAGGGGTGGGTAAGTCTGTCCCCTTAGACTAGAGCCTAGTGTGCATCGCCGTGAGTTTTGGATAATGAACTTAGCCTTCTGTGATTTTTGTTTCCTGAAGAACCTCAAGATTTTTATAGTGCTTCAGTGGCGTTAAGTGAAATCAGTGGTGCCAAAGATAGTACTGTCAGAAACGTTGGACAACGCGTAGTTCACGGAACTAGAGTTACCTGAGAGACTGTTGAGATTCAGAGAGCAGTACTTATTTTGTACACGCCCAAAAAAAAAAAAAAAAGACTATTTCAATTTATATTTTAACAACAAAATGTTATTTTCTTATCAATTCATATTTTGTTTTTACTTTATGGATTAAGAAAATAGAACCTGATGAACTAAATGATGCAAGAAAGAAACTAATCCTGAGAACGAGAGGCTTCAGAAAATACAATTTCGAGACCCACACACAGCCTTGGAAGGGACCAGGAAAAGAATGTCTTTAAACAGGATTTCTAAGAGATGCCTTCAAAAGCAAGATGGTGAGCGTGGCGGAGACCAACACTTAGATGTAGAAATACTGCCCCCTAGGGTCAGCCTCTACACCAGGAAAATAAATTCTAGGGCAGCCCCTGCCGTCTGTGCTGAAGGGAAGCCCCGGAGGCAGGCGGAAGCTCGGGCACCGGGCACGTGAATGGTGAGTGGCAGGTCTGAGGCCCGAGCTCAGCAACTCTTAAAACCAGTCACATACAAGATGTTGTTTTCATCTCAGGGAGAGATTTCTAAGTCATCTGGGGCCTGAGGACTTACTGAAGGACTATCCATGGACATGTTCCCAGGCTCACACGATAGGGAGCCCTGCTGACACCCTCTGATGCCAGACAGCCCCAAATGCAGAAGAGAAGGAGTCATTTATAAATCTGATCTCCCCTCATCTGTCAAGAGATGGTAGGCCTGTGCCCATGTTTCGAATACAACAGCTGTGGGGTACACGTTTTTGGGGGGAGAGGGAGAAGGGTTAATTGCATAATTTTAAAGAAGGATGCCCGTTCATCTAGACCAGGGGTTAGCTAACTTATGCAAAGTGCCCAATAGTAAATTTTTTTTAGTGTTTGGATTTTGTGGGCCATATCCTGTCACAACTACTCAGCTCTGCCATTGTAGCACAAAAGCAGCCACAGATAATAAACAAACGAGCATGACTGTGTTCCAATAAAAGTTTATTTACAAAAACAGGAGGTGAGCTGAATTTGGCCCACAGGTCATAATTTGCCCATCCCAATCTAGACAATAAAACTACTCCTTCCCAGTACGCCGTAGAGAGGGTCCCCTCGGCTCCAATTCCTGATGTGTGTTAAAGGTCTAGGGCCACCTGCCAGGGGAGGCACCGCAGTCCCTTGTTAAAAGGGTGCTCGAACAACCAACCAGCAAAGACACGTCTGAAGCCACAGTGAGCAACATCAAGCACTGGAAAGCTAAAACGCGCTGAACTCTAAGAGCAGAAGAGGGCCTATCTGATCATTTCCATACCAGCAACGATTGGGCAGAGCCACAATCACCTAGTTCCCAAGTGACAAGACAAACTGAGGGAGATCCTGGTAAAAACAAGGGATCCCTTAAAATCAGCTAGTCACTGCCACTTGTCATCTACATAGGAAAGGCTTCGTTCAGCACAGGGCTGAAGTGAACAGCAGACTCAGAGATGGAAAGGCTGTCAGGACACAGGGGGCTGGTTTTGACCTGGCTATCTACTGTCTTATGCAACATAGCAGATTACCTTTTAGCGTAGTGTTCCTACCTCAGTCTGTAGAATATGGTGTTTCTATGCAGTGAGTAACAGCCTCAACTCAGACCTTTCATGTTCACATTCAAAAAGATGCAGTATTCCATCTCCTGATACGTTACTGGTGTCCAGAGTTCTAACAGTACAATAGTCCATACCACTTCCAGCAGCTGAATTTTGCTCTCTGAACAGAAACTTTCGGGTTATGTATTTTTTTCCAGGGCGAACCCCAGAAAACATGGAAAGAAGAGTTTCCTTCAATTTGCTTTTCAAGTAGTGCTTGAATAACAAACCTCCTTTTGTTGGAATCCCCTCACCATATTAAAGTGTTGAAGTCTCTAACCTGGTTTTACTGTGTTCCACTGTGTTTCTTATTTTCTCTCAAAATTAGTTTGAGCTCATTGTAGGAAAAGCAATGGTTTCCATAGCTTCATCTATCAGAGGAAATAAAACTCTTACTAAAAAATAGTGTACTGCATCTTTAAGCAGCCGAGGGTAAACTACCTGCAAATGTGAATTTCTTACTTTCATTAAAAAATACAGAGTTGTTAACTTTTGTGTGCCAAAAATTCTAAGTTACGGTGTCCTTCAAAGCAATGTACTTTTTTTGACATATGCAGTATGTAGGTAGCATAAAATCATTGGTGCCATGAAGATTATTTTTAAACTTAAATAAATATTTAAATACCATGGAAAAGAGTGGGCTCCTTCTTTTCTCCCTTACACCTGCCTTGCTTTTTCCTCCCTTTAAGGTTACAACCACATGAATTAGAAGATACCAGTGTGATTACACAGCTGACTGCTGTTCAGGGCTGAGGTCATTTAAAATAAGCATTTTGCTTATATACACTATTCCCCTTCTCCTTCGCCCCAAATAAATGCTACCAGGAACTGAGAAGACAGAAGTATGGAATCATTTGAGATGAACTGGACCTCATTTCGTGTTGAGGGAAACCAAGCAGGTAAAGTCATTTTCCGAAGGTTACCTAGTTAGTCTTGGAGCCCAAACTAGAACCTAGATGGTCCAATGTCTATCTAGCATTCCTACTGAAGCCTGGAGCAGGAGGAAGAACAGAAAACACTTCCTATGAAGGAAACAGAATGATACCACCACTATGCTAATAAGCCTCACGTTTATGATTTATAAAATATATTCCTGTAACATTATCTCAACTGACTATGTAACCGTCACTCTGTGACTACAGAACTGGAAATGGTCTTTTAATTCTATGAGGATAAAAAGTGAAGCCAGGCACCTGGCCCACTGTGCTAGATTATCTTCCTGCTTCAAGTCTCCCTGCCCTCCAAACCTCCATTCTGCTGCCAGTCATCTTGCCAAAACACTAACCAGGATATGTCACTCACCTCAAAATTGTCAGTGGTTCCTATTACCTAGAAAATGGCATCCAGAGCCCTGTCCTCAGTGGAATTTTTTTTTTTTTTTTTTTAATGACAAGTCTTTGCCCGAAGTGATCTGATGAGTGAAAATTTTAAGAATCGCTGGGCCCAGATGGTCCCACATGACCCTCCAGATTTCCAGCAGCTTCCCTTCCTGCAGACATCTAATCTGGAACTTGCCTGTGCACATATGTTTTTAGGGCCCTAGCACCCACTCCCTTGCTTTGGGCTCCTCAATCACAAGCAAGCCCCTCTGCACCTGACCACAGTTTGGGCTTTAGTTTGGAAACCCTGGTGGCACAGTGGTTAAGAGCTACGGCTGCTAACGAACAGGTCAGCAGTTCAGATCCACCAGGCACTCCTTGGAAACCCTATGGGGCAGTTCTACTCTGTCCTATAGGGTCGCTATGAGTCGGAATCGACTCAATGGCAACGGGTTTGGTTTTTTTTTTTTTGGACACGACCCTACAATTTGCTGACTGAGTGAAGTAAAATAGGCAAAACATACTTTTAAAATATTTCCTCTTGCACACCTTCCATTTTGGGGAAAGGTACTTTAAAATGTTTTACTCCTCAGCTCTATACAACTGCGCTAAATATATCTTCCTCACAAAAGTCTATCTTTTCATTTAAAAATCCAAAATTTACAGCCAAATGAGCCAGAAAATGGGTCTATACTGTCTTGGAATTAAAACTGTTGTCAGACTCACTCATCATTACTGACCAGCAACGCTGTTATCAAGATGAAAAAAACAAAAGTCAGAAGGGGGCACGCTAACAAAATGACGCCTAAGTTTCTGGAATCTGACGTTCCTAAAACAAACAAACAAACAAACAAACCCGCTGATGTCAAGTCAATTCAGACTCATAGCGATCCTATAGGACAGAGTAGAACTGCCCCATAGAGCTTCCAAGGAGCAACTGGTGGATTCAAACTGCTGACCTTTTTGGTTAGCAGCCAAGCTGTTAACCACTGTGCCACCAGGGCTCCAATCTGCCATTAGAGGGCGTATATTTCTTCCTTTCGGGTTTGACAGAGAAGGCACAGGTGTCCCTCTTCCGCCCCCCTGTACTGTGTGCTGACTAAAAAGGATTTAAATTCTCTGTATCCACAGCCCTGAAGCTCCCTGCTTTCCTGGGGAACTGCCTTTGAAAAGTCTTCTCTGTGGAAAGGAAACTCAAAGGTCAGAATACAAAAATAGGATTTAAAGCAACTTAGATTCTATTAATTCCTAATGATTTACACTCTCTCCTAGTCTGACCAAGTCTCTGTCTACCCAAAATGAGAACAGTCTCCTTCCTCCTTGAAGTCACATTAAAAAAAGGCTAGGCATCTCAAAGAAATAACTCAAGTGGAATTCAGAGCTTATGTGCTTAAGAGAGATGACACAGTTCAGACTTACAAAAAAGGTTGATCCCGAAGCTTTAAAGGAGTCTGGGAGGAAGTACCTTTCACTACAGATTACAGTTAAGGATGTCCTAAGGGAGATAATTTTCCTTTTTGTGCTTTCTAGATTTAAACAATTACTCCATTATAAGGAGTAATTGTAATTTCCTTCCTGCGATGCCTCAAGCAGACATAACTCTATTTCCTGGAATTGGATATAAATGACATAGCTTTTGAAGCTACAATGGCCAGAGAAACCACAGAAGTGAGAAATGTCCAGAATTTGCTCAAGTTTACTGCAGAAGCCAGGCAATTACCGCCAAGTATTCAAAGCTTAAATGATGGTAGTAATTTGACTGAGAGGAGTTTTCAGCATCTGAAGAAAGAACAATTCCCATAGAACTAGCCACTGGAACCTGTGAAAATAAGTGGTGTTGTTAGGGCAGCGAAAGGCTTCCCTTACTGTTCCCTGCACAGTTTAAATATAATCCAACCTCACTCAGCTTTATTTTCCACTTCAAAAATTAGTGTTTCCATCTCGCTTATCAATTCCTGTGCTTGTATCACCCAGAAAATGAAAAATTCCATTCCCTATAAAAAGGAGCCCTGCTGGCATAATGGTTAAGCGCTTGGCTGCTAACTGAAAGGTTGGCAGTTCAAACCCGCCCAGTGGCTTCACAGGAGAAAGACTGGCGATCTGCTCCTGTAAAAATGACAGCCTAGGAAACCCTATGGGGCAGTTCTTCTCTGTCACATGGGGTCACTATGAGTTGGAATCGACTCGATGGCACTAAACAACAAATTCCTTATAAACACCCACAACCTATTAAAAAACTAAGCCTTTAAAATACTTAGATCGCAGAAAAAGAAATTGTTTAGAAAATTGTTCCTCAAGGCAATTACAGGTGTCACTTTATTTTTTATATACAATTATGAGAAAATAATATTTCTTTTTAAAATTCATACATATTGCCAAAGCTATTTACCGTAATCCTTCAATAGTGGCTTTGGCAATGAAGAACAATGAAGAGAGGTGGACAGGTAACGTCACGTGGTAATGTTAGTCAAGTGATGTAGCAGCTCCCCGTCCCAACAACAACCGCATTCAAATCACCATAACTTCTGAAAAGAAAACTGCTCGATGAAGACATGCCCAAAGTCATATTTCATAACATTTCCCCAAAATATGAGTAAGAATGAAAGTATTCACTTAACAAGTGACTGAATCCCCTCTGGAGAGTTTAAAGAAAGGGGCAGCTAAGGCTTTCACTTCTTTAACCCTGACCCACAATACCACAGTAATAAAGAAACACATTTACATCAGAATAAACATAAACACACACAGTTATGCCTACATATATATGCATATGTAACTCAGTTTCACAAAACAATACTGATTCTAATTATGGTTTCTGTTCTTCACTATTTCCTTTTCATTTTTTCAAACTCGGCTCTTGGCCATTAACACTGATTTCTTGTTAATGACTGCCACCCACTGTTAGGAAGACACTAGTCTGAGAGCAGTCCCTTTTGGAATTCAGGGTAAGGGAGATCCACAGTGTGTGCCTAGGAGCCCAGGATTCCTTGGCGGTGTCTCAGGAACTGTCCAGAGAAGGGGGGAAGGGAAAGGCCCAGCACACAGACCCAGGCCCTCCTGCCCCATGTCACCCAAAGCTACTCAGCAATTATCATGGGATTTCACATAAGATTTTATTTAGAGGCAGAAAAAAAAGGGAGTTCTGGGTTAAAAAAAAATTAAGTTTCAAAATCACTGAATTAGATGACTTTTCAGTACCCCTTCGAATTGTGTAAGTCTAGAAATAAATATTCACTCCAAACTATAAACCACAAATCTAAATCTCACTATACATTCAAAACCATATTATTCGATCACAAAAACTTTTAATATTGACCATTCAAAGCTTTATAATTTATAATCTTAGAACTTCTCAACCTACTGCCTGAGTAGGCATCTCAGCTCCCCTCAAATGCCCTCCCCAACCTGTAGAAAACAACCTCCGAGGCTTCTCCCTTTACTAAAAGTATATTCTGCTCATTGGAATGTTCTCAATAATAAAGCAATTTTATATTTGCTAAATATGACATATTACCAAGTAAACAGGCTAAGCCACATGAATTCAACTTTCTCTTTCTGGGTTCCTTAGACAGCGATTAACTTGAACAAATCAGTGCCACTAACCTAAAAACTCAGATGCTTTCTTAATTCATAAAAACATGTATCTTCCCGCTGGAATTACCTCCAGCCAGAATATAGCGCACTGGGTGCATGGCATTGATGGAACACACAGAGGCGAGATATTCTACACTGAGAAAAGAATGCAGCCGCTTTCCTGTCTCGTGGAAGATCTCTACCCGCCGTGGGTAAGCCATGCTGCCAACTATGATGCAGTCTTCTTGTTTAGGGTCCCACACAGCTCGGAACCTGGTCAGCCAGCGCCCAGTGTTGGTGTTATGCCTGGTGAAAAAACAGTATTTTTCAAAGGAAGTTAAGTGTTAAATAACTCCAGGTAGTACTGGACGAGGGTAAAGATGACAGTGTTCCTAAATGCTACTTTTCTTTGCCAAGTTTCTTCCCACATTACTGAGTTGCCATCACCCTTCCCTCCAATACTGGAACTCGCAACAGAGACAGCGTCTCATCTTGGAATCACCAGTGCCAAGCTCTGCGGTTAGTGCTCAGCGGACGTTCACTAAGTGTCTGTTGAAATGGCACTTGTTTTCTTTTTTTTATTGTGCTTTAAATGAAAGTTTACAGGTCAAGTTAGTTTCTCATATGAAATTTATACACACACTGCTATGTGACCCTAGCTGCTCTCCCTATACTGTGACAGCACACTCCCCCTTTCCACCCCAGATTTCCTGTGTCCATTCAACCAGCTCCTGTCCCTTTCTGCCTTCTCATCTCGCCTCCGGACAGAAGCTACTCATTTAGTCTCATGTAACTACTTGAGCTAAGGGGCACACTCTTCACGAGTATCGTGTTATGTCTTATAGTCCAGTCTAATCTTTGTCCAAGAGCTGGCTTTGGGAATGGTTTTAGTTTTGGGCTAACAGAGAGTCTGGGGGCCATGTCTTCTGGGGTCCCTCCAGTCTCAGTCAGACCACTAACTCAGGTCTTTTTACTAGAATTTGAGTTCTGCACCCCACTTTTCTCCTGCTCTGTCAGGGACTCTCTGTTGTGTTCCCTGACAGGGTGGTCATTAGTGGTAACCGGGCACCATCTAGTTCTTCTGTTCTCAGGCTGATGGAGTCTCTGGTTTATGTGGCCCTTTCGTCTCTTAGGCTCATATTTTCCTTGTGTCTTTGGTGTCCTTCATTCTCCTTTGCTCCAGGTGGGTTGGGACCAATTGATGCATCTTAGATGGCCGCTCACTAGCTTTTAGGATCCCAGCCGCCACTCACCAAAGTGAGATGCAGAACATTTTCTTAAAAAAACTTTGTTATGCCAATTAACCTAGATATCCCCTGAAAGCATGGTCCCCAGACCCCTGCCCCTGCTACTCTGTCCTCGAAGTGTTTGGTTGTATTCAGGAAACTTCTTAGCTTTTGGTTTAGTCCAGTTGAGAAATGGCACTTCTTTTGCTCACTGTTTCCTAGCTTGATGGACAAAACCAGGCAGAGGACTTTCCCGTGGAAAATCCCTTTCTCAGCACATCCTAACATGAAGCCCTAGAAATAAGACATCTGAAATCTAGGTTATTTATTGCTGTTTTAACAAGACCTGCTATTTCCCATATTTGTATTCCCCCAATAACTGAGCCCTGAAACTATTTAATATTCCATACAGCTTTAAAATCCAAAATACATTTATTTAGGGCCCTTCACAGCTCTCCAAAGCAAAAAAAAAAGTGCTGCCCTTTTATTCTCTCTGTCTTAATACCACTAACAAGTATGGGCTATGGAGAACCACACTTCCCACTGCCACTCAATGACCCAATCTTTAATGAGAATTCCTACTGAAACCAGAATTATCACCCTAGATCAATTTAAAAAATAAACACACACACACACACACACACACACAAAAAACCAAAACACATTAGAAACGGATAGACTGGAACAAACTGTTTGAAAAAGGAAAAACCTGAATAAGGGAGACTAACACACTTAAATATAGCCTCTACAGACTATAAAACTCAGGAAGCAACAGTCAGTACATATCACAGCCCCGTCCCCATACTTCATCAATACCGACAATAAGGGAAATCTAAGGAGAAGACCTTGAGTAAATGTCTCCATTTGATGTAAAACACACACACACACACACACAGCAGCATATGCATGAAGATAAGAATGAAATAAGAACGAAACCCCTTTAGACACCCTTCTAACTTGGAAGTGAAGCCACACCTGGAGGTCACCTATCAGCCAAATAATAGGCCTATAAGAATGGTCATCTACAGGAGACCAAAAGGGCAACACCTGCCCAAAGGCAAAGAGGAGAAGGCTGGAAGGGGCAGGAAAACCAGACAAATGGAAATGGAGAACCCAAGGTGGTAAGGGGGAGAGTGCTGACACCTTGCGGGAATTGCAACCAACCTCATGGAATAATTTGTGTATACACTATTGAATGAGAAACTAATTTGCTCTGTAAACCTTCACCAAAAGCACAATTGAAAAAAAAAAAAAAGAGAGATAGGAAGATAACATGAGTAATTCAGGCCTGAATAAAGTAAAACCCACTGCCAACAAGTAGATTCTGACTCATAGCGACCCTATGGGACTGAGTAGAACTGCCCCACAGGGTTTCCAAGGAGCGGCTGGTGGATTCCAACTGCCAACCTTTTGGTTAGCAGCCAAGCTCTTAACCACTGCGCCACCAGTCAATAGCCTTAACCAAAAATAACCTCTCAGCTACAGAGAACAGCTACTGACTAGAAGAGATTAAACTCTCTTTATAAACACAGGGAACCTGGGAGCAAAAACCCTTCTACATAGGAACTAGCAAACTGGGGCACTTAAACAACACAGTACAAACAGCAGGCCTGGTACATCTGACAATCGGACATCTAATGAATGCCCTCCAATAAGTAGCTCACTGTAACGCAGGGTCTTCATTACCTGGCATATGGAAACCTACCTGATTGTGGTGAGGAGAGGAAGCTGAGAGGCTATACAGCTGCTGTCAAAGATTCTGCAAAATAAATATCAAGAATAAAGCAACACACCCTTTGCATTATATCTTGAAAGTCTTTTGAAATACCCTCAGTGTATTTAACAAGCTTCTCATTGGTTCATAATATGAAATAAGACTGTTATTTTAAAATATATAGGATAAGGCTCTAACAAATCTCAGCTAATACATTTAATCAAAAAAAAGTCACAGGAATATTATAAAATTCAGTTTAGTGTGGCAATACTGTAATTTACTTAAAAGCTATTACTCCAAACTCAAAAGGTACATTATAAGTGATAATCTGGACTCTAAAACTATATTCAGATTCACAGTAATAGGGACATACAAAAAATGTATGTCTGAAAACGCACAAATACCTAAAACTGCATGTATCAAGAGCAATCTCCCCATGAGACTCATCAGTTGAGGGCCTGACAGCATCATGTCCAGGGACTAAGACTGGCCAGCAACCAAGGGGCGGAGTTCTTGTGGGGAGAAGCTGGTAGGAATCAATTCAGAAGCCTCTACTGGACACTCTGGCAGAAGGAAGCTCACCACGTCACCACCACCACCTGCTCCCTATGCCCAGCTGTTCTGTGCAGCTTCTTGGCAACAGAGCTGACTGTCTAATCAGACTACAAGACAGCCAAATCGCTAACGGTTGAAGTAGCAAGAGTAAACCCTGCAGGGCAAATGAACAGGATCAGGACAAGCAGGTAGCTCTCGAGACAAAGAAAACAGCACGAGTGGAAAGGAGACGCTGGACTGCCATCCCCTTTGACTCTCTCCATGAACCACCTAGCGATGCTCACAGACTTTGCTAAAAACTAACTGGGCGCCTGCCATACACTGCAGACCACGCTCTTCCTGATAGCTGGGTCTCAGCAGAAATGAGGTGTCATTCTCGTGCCTGCCCACAGCACACATTCCACAGATACTGCAGCTTCCATTCAGCACTGCACTGGCAGGGTGGACCTCACTGTTGCCAAAAGTAAGAGCCTCCTGTGCTAAGACTATCTCCCTTCTGAGACACCAGACAACCTGGTTTTGGTGGGACTTCTGGGATTCTTCAGTGCTAAAAGGGACGCCTGACATCAACTCCCCAGGGCAGCTATTAGACTTTCCTTGCCAGACTCTACAGTTCCAAGGAAATTTCCAAAACCTGGGAACTGCTAAAAAGCGATGAAGTCCAGGCCCTGGGTCTTTGGTGGCCTAGACAATAACACTAGTGATTAAACAGAGAGCAGTATACCAAGCTTCTGGTTTCCTGACAGGGCAGCTAGACTCTTTAGATTTCTTAAAACATACCTCTGCCTTCCAAATTTACCTCAGATTACTATCAGCACATGTGGTCACCAATCTGTTACCAGTTATAGGTGAAAAATAGGCAGAGGCAACGCTCTTCGTATGTTCAGTCAAAGCAATCAAAGGCTGGCTTCCCCTGGGAGTAAGGCTTCTTGCATCATAAATATGAATATCCCTGTAATGGGAGGAAAAATGATCAGTGTGGTCACAGGTGATGCAGTTACCCTCTAGAATAGGCCTGAATGTAAACTGGACACTCAAACAGTCAATACATTGAAGAACATTTAGGATAGAACCCTCCAATCTCTTGTATTAATTTTTTAAACGCTGGCATAGATAAAAAATAAAATATTCAAAAAATTCTAAAACTCCATCAGATATATGTAACCAGTGAGAGACAAGTTTCCAGTTGGCTTTCCAATCTCTCCAAGAAAAAGTTAACACAGATGAACAATTTATAGGCTACATACAACTTGTGTTTTTTTTTTACGGGTTTTCATTTTCTTCTCAAAAGACTAAGAAGTAAATGTAAATTATGTCAAGGAAAACAAAAGTGTGAATCTGTTTCAGTAATTTTACTATTTGTTAAATCCAAAAGAATCTCTCATTTTTATGAAAATCACATTAAAAAACAAAAATCTTCCCAGTGAATTGTGCAGAAATACTGATTTCTATACCATCTTAAAGAAAAAGTTATGAGGGTTTTTTTGGGGAGCAGAAAAAAGTAACAAAAGTTGAGATCTTAAACTGTAAAAAAAAAAAAAAAAACTGTCAAAGTTGTAAAAGTTCTGAAGTGTCAGAGTTCTGCCGGCAAAGCTCATTTTGTGCAATGAATATAAAGACAGACCGCTGGACAGATTTGTTTGGTTCTTCCTTTTAAATGAAGAAAAGCTTTGTGTAAGCGTTGCACACTTATTGGAGTAAATCTGAATGATCCTGCTCCTTTGGAGTAAAACTAGTGCTTACTGGTTTCTGATTGTATTTAGTTTCTGGTTGAATTTGAAAAATGAAAACCTAAATAAGTGAAAGTTCCCTGACTATTCAGGTGAACACACACACACGCACGCACGCACACATGCACGCACACACGCACGCACACACACACACACACACACAACCCTCAATCAGGGTAGGAAGAAAAATCATTTGCTCTTTGGGTATCACAAAAGTCAGATGCCTTTGACAACCAAACAAAAACATAAAAAGGCCTAAAACATAAAATTTTATGACGAACATACCTCAGTCCCGCAGTAACGAAATACTGTCTATGCACTGGGTGGACATGAACAGTTCTTATTTTTTCCAAAGAAAACTTGCTAAGTTTCTCGTAAGAAGTCCCAGGTGTCCGTCTGTCCACTAGAGACATACTTCCATCCCAGTGTCCTACAACTAAAGTGGAGGCGTCTTCTGCCAAGAAGTCAAAGGAAGAGAAGGTACTGCTTTCATTTCTATATACCTAAGGAGATAAGTCACAATCAGCTTATGTTTATTAATATTAATGTATTAATAATTTTTAAATTGGCTTATAATACTCTTAAAGAATGCCAATGCACAAATTCTTTGGTAAAGGAGTTATACAGACTTTACCTAAATAACCTCATTTATCCTCCCATCATCCCCGTTGGAAACAAAGGCACTCATCAGCTGTGAGACTTGGCCTACAATCAAGTGACCCCCGGACCTATGTCAGGGCCACAGCCCAAATTTCTTAGAAACCAATAAAACTCTGTTCCAGATCTACCTGTGAAACTTGCCAGAAAATGGACTGAATCTGAATTATACTCCCTTGAAATTATATCTTAATATATCGAGTAACTTTGCCAACAAAGTCCAAGCAAGATATATGGCTGAGAGCTCATCCCCTCTTGGTCAAGTGTAAACAGATACACATTTCTGACAGCTAATCCGGTGACATCTATCAAACCTTTTAATGTTTCTACTCTTTGACTTGATCATTTCACGAAGACATATGCAAGGATATCCACTGCAAGACTGCTTGTAATAGCAGTAACAAGCAACCTAACTGCCCGCCCAAAAGGATCTGGTTAAATAAATGACTGGAACGATTGTACCTCTCTACTCCGAAACACCACACAATGCTAAGAATGAGGTAGATTAGTATTACTAACTGTCCAAGATATACTATCATACAAAAAAAAAGCAAGTTGCAAGAGTATGTTTATAGTATGAACCCATTAGTGCAAAGAAGAAGACAAAAAATCTGTATCTACATGTTTGTAAGCATACGTGCGCTTTCTGGGAACATACTCAAGAGTTATAGCAATCTTTATCCCTAGAGAGTGGCAATGGAGGGAGGGCAGGTTTACTGTGCATACTCTATTTACTGCAGATCTTTTATCATGAGCACATATTATTGCTATAATTTTTTTAAATCACATATAATTCATAATACTATCACTTGTGGTTCAGGCCTCACACACATAAGGAAAAAAAAAAGAAATACTTCCCCCAAGTAAGAGACAGTGAACACCATTCATATTGCTGATCATGAATTGCTGCTGATTCTTGGCTTTAATAATAAGTATTATTATAAACTGAGATTAATAAATTGATTGATACAGCAAAGGCATCCCACACCCAAAACACCCCAATATACACAAATAAAACTTGAGGTTTTCAGTCAGTGTATTAGAATGATTGAGAGCATCGGCTTTGACTCAGACAGACCTGAGTGCAAATTCTAGTTCCGCCACTTATGTCCTTGAGCAAGCTAATAAACCCCTCTTTGCCTCAGTTTTTTCATCATTAAATGGGAATAACATTACCTATTTCATAGTGTATTATAAGGCTTAGAAATGTACACAAAGCACACTCAATATGGTGCCTAGCACAGGGTGACTGTTCAACCAGTGGTACTACGAACAAATTACTGATATAGCAACAACATGGATGAATCTTACAAGCACTATGCTAGGTGAAAGAAGCCAGACCCAAAAAGCTACATACTGTATGATTCTATCTACTTGACATTCTAGAAGTAAAACTATTGGGACAGAAATCACATCAGTGGTTGCCAGGGGTAGGACTGACTAAAAAGCCACAAAGTTTTTTGTTTTTTTTAATACAGATACACTTTTAAATTTCAAACTCCAACATTCTTGCAGGAATATAAACAAATATAAAAAGGAACATGACTTGCAAAGATAACTACACGGTGGTGCATTAATAACAAAAGTGTTACCATTTAACAGTTTGTAAGAGGCCTTTTCACAAAAATTATCTCATTTAATCCGTGATTTACAAACCATCTACTTCCAATAAATGTTTGAATTATCAATGTTGCTTTTAAAAACCTATTTTTAAAAAGGGGGAAATAGAAATTAAAAGGGAAAAAAAAGCAACGTACAGATACTTGTTTCTTCTAACCCTCAGTAATTAGGAGATCCAGTCTGACCAGTAACACAGCATTAATAGCCTTGAAGTCCTTTTCTACATAGTTAAAAACAGACCTGCTTTGTTTTTATGTGCCGTCCAGTCAATTCTGACTATAGCGACCCTATAGGACAAAGTAGAACAGCCCCATTGGGTTTCCTGGACTATAATTTTTATATTGTAATAAATGTTTACGGAAGCAGATCGCGAGGTCTTTCCTCCCAATGAGCAGCTGGTGGGTTCAAATCACCAACGTTTTGGTTATCAGCTGAGCACTTAATCATTGCACCACCAGGGCTGCTTAAAAACAGATCTACACATGCCTAAAGTGACTTAAAAAGCCTCACTCTTAAAAACCAAAAACTATCAAATCTCAGCAGGGAGAAAAACACCTTCCAATTATAAGAAAGATCATTTAGGAATTCAGCATAGAACAAAAGCAGCTATACAGTTAAAAAAACAAACTCGTTGCCTTCGAGTCGATTCTGACTCATAGCGACCCTATAGGACAGAGTAGCACTGCCCCACAGGGTTTCCAAGGAGCAGCTGGTGGATTCGAACTGCCCACCTTTTGGTTAGCAGCCGAGCTCTTAACCACTGCACCACCAGGGTTCCAGCTATATATTACACAATAATTATTAAAATACTTATTTTTAAACCCCTTAAAAAGTAATTATGGAACATATGTACATGGAATATTTAGAATAATGACAAAGACATCCGAATGTGTTCATTTTGAGTGCTGGTTTTTAGAAAAACTTTAGGCATAAAATTGGATCATCAATTAGTATTTACAAAGCAACGTCAGTGATGAGTACCCTGTTCTCTCCATTATATCACATATAAATTGCTCTTAGTTCGAGGACTTCTAAAAATTAAAACGTCCCATTCAAAATAAGATAAAGGATGAAACCTACATTTAAATCATCCTAAGTTTCATGAAGATTAAAATCCATATTGAGAAAGAGAAGAGTTCAATTTGAAAGAATTATCTTATTAAGGAAATCTAATATGGCTAAACAAATCTGAAAGCCCCTCTCAAATGATGTTCGCTGGAAGCATTAAATAGAGCAAAGCTTAAGCAAAGGGATCCCATATAGTAAGGACTGTTCAGGCATTTAGAAGCTTCCGCCCTGCCCCACCATATACCAAACTGATTCAAAATCTCCAAGGAGATTTTCTAGGTAGAGTGTCTCTGGGAGGATGCGTGGTGGGTGCCCAAGGTCTTTCAACCATTCCTAAATAGACTTGAACTTAATTTGGCTTTACTGGGGTTAGACCAGCCCAGGAAGAGACCTATCCTCAAGAGGTGGTTAAGAACAAACTTGGCCTCAAGTGTTCTCAATAAACCCCCCTAGGGTGCCACTCCTTGCCAGTGTATAATTATATGGCATTTTTCATTCTAAATTTACCAGAAGAAAACAGCTGAGCTCATCTCTTACGGCATATAGCAACATATAAGATAGTAAGTCTTAGCTGGAAGGAGATAGAAAACCAAAATTTGCAGCCAAAATTTGCAGTTTCTATGTTACGTTACAGGTCAAAAGTTTTCGGTGTGTGTAATATAGTACCATCATGTGATGAATTTCTCTACAGTCCTTTTTTCCATGTCTAAGACTCGTCCCCACAAAATTCATGTCTGCGAAGGCCATGAATGATAAACAAAAGTATAATAATATTTCAATCTTTTTTTTTTTCCTGAATGAAAAAGAAATACAAGTCTTCAACCTAAAAAATAGAAGGGCGAGTTATTTTACTTAAAAACTTTGCAAAAATTGTAGGAAAAAGAGCAAACACTTGGCATGTGCCAGACTCTGTTCAAAGCACTCTATCTGCATTAACTCATTTAGTCCTCATAACAATATGGGGTAGATACTATCCCATTTCACATCTAAGGATATTGAGGCATAAAGCAGTTCAGTCACTAGCCAAGGTCACACAGCCAGTAACCAAGGTCTGGGATATGAACTTCGGGGGTATAATTCTAAAGTTGCTATGTGCTATATCACCTCTCTCAATCATTCATGTTGTTTATAAAGAAGCATAAGATTTCAAAAAGAATTCAGAGTATCATTTGAAGTCAGCACGTAAACACATTAACATTTACCTCTTCAAAAACAGCTCTGGAAAAATCTCCACAGCGTACCGTGCCATCATAGCTCAGAGACAGTATGTGGGCCGGATTGGCGGGTGAAAAGTAAACACAGCTCACTGGCTGACTATGGGGATGAAAAACATAAACGCCCTCTTCTTTAGGTTGGTGGGTCTGGAAGAGAGTTGGGGAGGGGAGACAAAAATTAGTGAAAAGTAGCGACATTTACTATGTCATTACATCATTAAACCATTTACACCTAGATTACACTCAGTCTCTTCTCAGTCTATGACTGTACCCACTCTCCCACTCAGAAAGTCAGATCTAGAAACTTTATACTGTCACTAAATCACTTTTTTCTGATTTTCAATCCAATGATATTTAGTCACATTTATTTTAACAGTTCCCAGCTTTCTGTAACTAGCACACTAGTTTTTTTTATAACCCAGAGGAAAGAAAATTAATGCTCATTTGGACTTCAGTTCATGAAATCCTCAGGAAATGAGAAATGTACTCTTTATTTCACACGCAGTATAATTCCTTAGTACCAAAAACAACAGCATCAGTACCATCACTGCTGTGCTTCCTGAGTGTGCTTCTATGTGTGGTCGTCATCAGGTGCTATCGAGCTGGTTCTGATTCGTAGCGGCCCTAAGCACAACAGAACGAAACACTGCCCAGTCCTGTGCCATCCTCCAAAGTGTTGCCATGTTTGAGCCCACTGTTATAGCCACTGTGTCAATCCAGCTTCATTGAGGGTCTTCCTCTTTTTCGCGGACCCTCTACTTTACCAAGCATGACGTCCTTCTCCAGGGACTGGTCCCTCCTGATAACATGTCCAAAGTATGTGAGACATAGTCTTGCTATCCTTGCTTCTAAGGAGCATTCTAGCTGTACTTATTCCAAGACAGACTTGTACGTTCTTCTGGCAGTCTGTGGTATATTCAGTATTCTTCGCCAACACTATAATTCAAAGGCATCAATTCTTCTTCAGTCTTCCTTATTCATTGTCCAGCTTTCACAGGCATGTGAGGCGATTAAAAATACCATGAGTTGGGTCAAGCACACAAATACTTCTATATAATACTAGCATATCATTCTCAGCGTAATTTTCATAAGGCAGTTGGTTCTGGCACAAAATGATAATTTTAAAAATATTTTGTCCTCTAAATATACCTTGAAAATGCATGCCTTCTTATTTAATCAGCTATTTGAATTAATATCACTGTTTTAAAGGATGATCCTTTCCACAGTTGGATTACTAACTCCTAAGAAGTCATTTTTCAGGTCTGGACAGGTTATAGTCCTACGTCACATGTCATATTATAAACTAGGGTAACTATTGCCTCCAAATCTGGCTTCGTCTGTTCTGCAATACTCAATCATTTTTTGTGTTCTTTTTTATTTGAAAAATAAAGTTTAAAAAAAAAAATAAGGAAGGGAAAAAACCACCACCATACGCACTCCTCCTCCCCAGGGCCAGCCACCGTTACATCGTGGCACACTTGCTTACAGCGTTTGTTTCTCAGGACAAATCTCTCCTCTGTTATAAAGATTTAAACAATATAAAGATTTAAACAATGCAGAATGCACAAAGGTGGAAGTTCTTAATTTTCAGCAGTCTAGTCTGTCCCTTGCTATTGTCTAATTTACCAGTACGACTGAGCTTCAGTCTGTTTCCTTAGTTCTGCAAGCTCCTCAGTCATGTCTTTCTGCTGTTTTATCATGTCGTTTGAGATTTATTTTACCAAATTAATGTTTTTATTAACTTGCTCCACAGCACTGCTGTCCGAAAGAACTCTCTGAGATGACAAAAATGTTATATATGTGGACTATCATATGGTAACCACTAGCCATGTGTGACTATTAAGCCCTTAAAATGAGCCTAGTGTAACTGACGAACTAAGTTTTTAATTTTAATAGCTTCATATGAATAGCAGCTACTGTACTGGACTGTGCAGCACTAGGCTGAAGCAACGGCTAAGAAGTCCTTCCTTCTCTTGAATTATGTTGTTCTTCTTGTCTTTTGAATTCTAGGTTCTCTCGCCCTTTTTCACTGTAGTGTTTGACCAGGTGCCACGCCATTGCTGATTTTCATCGTGCTTTAATGGCTCTGCCCACGCTAAGTGCTCTGACACATCTTGACTATTTCTCCCAGTATCTGATATCAGTTCGTTTTTCCTCAGAGCTTTAGTGTAAGGAGAGTTTATGGGCCTGTCTGTAGCCGGGAGGAAAGACAGGGGCAAGAGGAAGGTGGTGGAGAGTCGGTGTCAGCAGAAGCAGTATACACTGTTTGTTGAGGTTCTGTCAACTCCCATTCTTGAAACTTTCTCATCTCTTGGCTTCTCCAACTTCCAATTATTCTGGTCATCTTCCCTCTTCTCTGGTTGTTTTCTTTGCTAAATCCTTTCACCTCCAACCCCACTCACATCTCATCATCTTATCAAAATGAAGGAGAACCTATGCTTCCCAAGGCTTGGTCTGTGTCTCTCTTCTTCTCACTCTATTAGCCCCAACCAGCTTCAAGTCACCACTGCTTCTGCATCTCCCTCAACTGTCCTCATGGCGTTTTCCATGGCTTTGTTCTACTTCCCCAATTAGAAAATAAATTCAAGGAGCATTAACTTGGTCTCTTAATTTTACAACTCCTAAAAGCATTTAATGCAGAACCATACACACAATTAATGGAATTCAATATCTGTTTCTGACTTATCAAAAGTTGACTGGGATCATCCTAAGCAGTTCCCTGGAAAAATATTTTGATCCAGCTTGGAGACTGTATTTAAACATAATTAGGAAAGTGAAAACTTGGTGTGATCCTTTCACAGATACACTGAAAGTTGTAATAACGTTTCCTGACAGTTAATTTATGCCCAGATGGCTAATAATATGCAAGCTAAATATGTTAAAGTTCTATCAAATAAATTTAAATTCCGTCAGATTTCTAAAATTTAGAATCACACAGCACAAAACTCCTAATCTCAAGCAATGTTTATAAACACATGGGTCTAGGATATTTTTCTTCCTGACTCCTTGCTTCAGTCAAGCTTTACTATCTTAAAAAAGTCAACGACTTACCACATCCCAAAGTCCAATCTGCCCATATTTGGCTCCAGCTGCCACCAAAGTTCTAGTTTCGGATGGGTGGAGAGCCAGAGACAGCACAGAGCCTTTGGTCACTTTACAAACAGTCTCTTCACTAATGACCATGCGGCTTACATTGGCTTTGTAGCTGAGAAAATCAAAAAGTTAAACTTTAAAAGTAAAACCAATACCCATAGTCAACAAATAAGTAAAAGACAATTCAAAAAAGAATCACAACTAGTAAATAAATGTGGAAAAATATTCAATCTCCTGGTAACCAAGGAAATCAAACAACAAGGTACTATTTTTCCACTTATTAAAAACCCTTAATAATCTTAATGATAACCCCAAAAGCAAGTAGGCATCAGTTAAATGTATATAACTCACATACATTGCTAGTGGCAGAGTAAGTTCATGCAAGGTTTTCAGAAAAAACTTTTGGGGGGAAAACAATTTGGCAATGTAAACCAAAAGCCATAATATTTGACTCGTTAATCCCATTTCCAGGAATCTATCACAAGGAAATAATCCATTATCTGTTTGTCTGACACACACACACACACACACACACACACACACACACACAGCAAAACAGAAAACAACCCCAAATACCAAGCAGTGGAGGGAGGTTAGGTAAATTGCAGAATACTTACTCAATGGAATATTATACGATCACGTCAATAATTTTAAAAATTATAGTAACAGGCAACCACGATGTTAAGAGAAAAAAGCATAATTCAAAATTACATATACATTAGAACCTAACAAAGTAAAAGTGTACGTGAATTCATCCATTTAGTCAACATTTAGGGAAGACCTATTACGTGCTAGGCACTGTTCTGGTTACCAAGACAAAATCTCTGCCCTCATGAAGCTTATATCCCAGTGGTATTACATGTGGTGACACTTAAAAGGAAACACACGAAAGCAAAACCAACCATTTGAGTGGAAATATGGGTAATTTTTTCACCTCACCTTCAAAATTTTCTGTAATAGCATATAGTCTTTACAACTCAAAGATCTCAGAAAATTTAAAACAAAGGCAAGAGATTTAGCTTACCTTTTCAGGCTAGGTAACTCCTTAGTATTCTTACTACCTGCCTGAAACATTGGGAAAGACCAGAAGTACCAGGTTAATATATGTATTGAACTTCCTGAGCAGATGACTCAAAAAGCTGTGAGCCTTCCCAAGTGATACCTTGCTCATTTCTTCCCAAGTCTGTAGAAATCCTTTAAATAGTTCATCGTTATCATCTCGATTTTCAGGAGTCATTTCTAACGGCCCAGGAGGTAACAAAGGCTGTTATAAAAAATAAGAGAAAAAAAAAGTTTATACCTGTCTCCCCGCCCAACAATGTAAGCTTGAGGAGGGCAAGGATGTCTTTCCATTTTTCTCACTACTTTATTTTTAGCACCAACAAGAGGGCTGCACATCATGGGCATTCAAAAATAATTATTCAATGAATGAATGCCAGGCATCCTGTAAAGTATGTTACATGTATTATCTCATTTAATCCTCTCAGCAACCCAATGAACAAGATACCACATTTTAAAGCCACTGGAATGAGACGTAGAAATGTTAACTTGCCCTCAGTCACACTACCAATAGCTGCAGGAGCTGGGAATGGACTCAGATCAGTCCAGTGGCATTACTCCATGCTGTTCTTTATGCCCCCCTCCCATGTGTCTGTCAGTTTGGCGTTCTGTGCGGGCTTGCGTGTTGTTGTGATGCTGGAAGCTATGCCACCAGTATTCAGATACCAGCAGGGTCACCCATGGCAGACAGGTTTCAGCTGAGCTTCCAGACTAAGACAGACTAGGAAGAAGGACCCGGCAGTCTACTTCTGAAAAGAATTAGCCAGTGAAAACCTTAAGAATAGCAGCAGTTTAAAATCAGGAAAGGTGTGTGTCAGAGTTGCATCCTTTCACCATATCTATTCAATCTGTATGCTGAGCAAATAATCTGAGAAGCTGGACTCTATGAAGAACAGGGCATCAGAACTGGAGGAAGACTCATTAACAACCTGTGTTATGTAGATGACACAACCTTGCTTGCTGAAAGTGAAGAGGACTTGAAGCACTTACTGAAGATCAAAGACTACAGCCTTCAGTATGGATTACACCTCAACATAAAGAAAACAAAAATCCTTGCAACTGGACCAATAAGCAACATCATGGTAAACAGAGAAAAGACTGAAGTTGTCAAGGATTTCACTTTACTTGGATTCACAGTCAACACTCATGGAAGCAGCAGTCGAGAAATCAAAAGACGCACTGCATTGGGCAAATCTGCTGCAAAAGATCTCTTTAAAGTGTTCGAAAGCAAAGATGTCACCTTGAAGACTAAGGTGCGCCTGACCCAAGTCATGGTGTTTTCAATCACCACATATGCATGCAAAAGCTGGACAATGCATAAAGAAGACCAAAGAAGAATTGATGCCTTTGAATTATGGTGTTGGTGAAGAATATTGAATAAACCATGGACTGCCAGAAGAACAAACAAGCCTGTCTTGGAAGAAATACAGCCAGAATGCTCCTTGGAAACAAGAATGGAGAGACTTGTTCGAGTTGTAGGGTTAATGTTTTGATTTTGGCCCTTTCTTCTTTTTGGATGTGTGCATTTATTGCTATACACTGACCTCTGAGCACTGCTTTTGCTGTGTCCCAAAGGTTCTGCTAGGATGTGTTTTCATTCTCATTTGACTCTGTGAATTTCTTTATTCTGTCCTTAATTTCTTCTATAACCCGGTAGCTTTTGAGCAAAGTGTTGTTCAGTTTCCATGTGTTTGATTTTTTTTCCTTGCTTTTTCTACTACTGATTTCTACTTTTATGGCTTCACGATCACAAGAGATGCTTTGTAATATTTCAATGCTTTGGATTCCGTTAAGGTTTGCTTTATGGCCTAATACGTGCTCTGTTCTGGAGAATGTTCCATGTGCGTTGGAAAAGAAAGTATACCTGGCTGCTTTTGGGTGGAATGTTCTGTATGTGTCTATCAGATCAAGTTGGTTGACTGTGGCATTTAGATCTTCCGTGTCTTTATTAAGCTTCTTTCTGGATGTTCTGTCCTTCACCGAAAGTGGCATGTTGAAGTCTCCTACTATTATTGTGGAGCTGCCTATCTCTCTTTTCAATGCCGTTAGTTTGTTTTATGTATTTTGGAGCCCTACGCCAAGGTTTTTTAAGACACAGGTTGTAACTCTTCAGCAGGTCATGAAATCACTTAATGCAACAGAGCTAGCAAGTATATCACACAGAGTAAGACTAGGTTTTGTTTCACAAAGCTTTTGTTTCAATTGTGTGCGTGAGAGTGTGTGTGTCTAATGTGTTACAATGTAAGCACAGCAAAACCTGTGAGAGCAGAAACTCCATGGGACTGCCTTGTTTTTCCAGTCTCACGAGTTTTCCTCCTTTGACAGGGTCTAGTCTTACAATTTTTCTATCACTCATTTTAGCGGAAAATATTAGAGTTTTCCTTCTCTGACAGGTTTTCACCTTACACAGGTTCTGCCTTACACAGGTTTTACTGTGTATTTCTTATTGTGGGTCAAGGTTTCAAAAAAATTTGAAAGCTACTCCTCTATGTTGCTTTCCATAGTACCTTAATTTGCAATTAGTTCCCAAAGTACCAGCCTAATTAGTGCTATCTTCCAATCTGTAATTAAGCATTTAGATATAAAGTATTAAAAACAGCAGTGCTTTTGATGGTTACCAGGGATGGGAGGGGCACGAAGAGGGACTCACTTTCTAAATAGCAGACACTTGTTATTCTTAGTGATGGGAAAGGCAACACCAAATATGGGTGAAGTCTGCACAACCTGACCAAGGTAAATGAAGACACTAAGTACACAAGAAAAAGGGACAATTTCAGTAAAGGCTGTAATATATACCATTTTGCAACAACAGTAATAATAGCCAAAAAACATGTGTGGTTACATAGGTAGAGTTGTATACGTATATGTATATAAGAAGGCATATGCATGTAAATGCATGTGTGTGTAGAGGTGTATCTGTAGGCATATGTATACAGGTTTATGTGTGCTGCATATATATCCATATATATAATAAAGCACATGGGGGGCACAGTTACAGAGACCTCCTAGACATAGCCAAACAACTCATGGGATTGGTTTACTGGGTTAAAAGGCTTAGGACTATAGTCTCATGGGACAACTTGGTCAATTGGCATAATATAGTTCATAAAGATAATGTTCTACATTCTAGTTTGCTGAGTAGTGTCTAGGGTCTTAAAAGATTGTGAGCAGTCATCTAAGATACAACTATTGGTCTCTACTCGTCCGGTGCAAAAGAGAATGAAGGAAACCAAAGACTCAGAGAAGAAACTAGTCCATAGAACTAATAGCCCACATGAACCACAGCCTCATCTAGCCTGAGACCAGAAGAACTAGATGGTGCCTGGCTACCACTACCTACCATTCTGACCAGAGACACATACATGGTCCCAGATAGAATGGGAGAAAAGTATAGAACAAAATACAAATTCCTAAAAAAAGGCCAGACCTACTGGACCAAGACAGATTATAGGAACTCCCAAGACTATCACCCTAAGATATCCTTTGAACTTGGAACTAAAGCTATTTCTGGAGGTCACCTTTCAGCCAAGTAATAGATTGGCTTATAAAATAAACAGTATCACCCATGAGTAATGGCTCCCTTAAACAATCAACCATATGAGACCAAATGGTCAACATTTACCCAAAAGCAAAGATGAGAAGGCAAGGAGGTGAAGAAGAGAAGCTACATCAATGAAAACAGAACAAACAGGATGGAAATAATGGGAATGCTGACACAGTGTGGAAACTGCAACCAGTGTCACGGAAAAATCTGTATAAAAATTGTTAAATGGGAATCTAATTTGCTGTGTTAACTTTCACCTACAACACAATAAAAATATTTTTTATAAGGAAAAAAAAAAAAGGTGTTCTTGAATAAAAAATATAATTATAGTCGTATTTATAAAATAAATTTGCTGCATAAAACTCTTTCTGCTCACTGACAGCATAAAATTAAACTACAGCAAGGCCTCCCATAACTTTTATCACATATTATTATAAATAATATTAATAACTGCCATTTACTGATTATTTGCTAAGTCCTTAGCACAATGTAAGCAATTCATAGACATTATTTCATTTAATGCTCAGAACAGCCCTGTCATGGATTGAATTGTGTTCCCCAAAAAACGTGTGTAGCAACTTGGCTAGGTCATGATTCTCAGTATTGTATGATTGTGTTATCTGATGTGATTTCCTCATGTGTTGTAAACTTTACCACTATGATGAGATTATATGTGATCTCATGTGTTGTAAACTCACTGTGATGAGTGTATACTGATGAGGTTGACAAGATTAGGGTCTTAATGCAATCTCTTTTGAGATATAAAAGAGAGAAGTGAGCAGAGATATATGGGAACCTCATACCACCAAGAAAGCAGTGCAGGGAGCAGAGTGCGTCCTTTGGACCTGAGGTTCCTGTGCAGAGAAGCTCCCAGACCAAAGGAAGACTGATGCATGGACTTTCCTCCAGAGCGGATGGAGAAAGCGTTCCCCTGGAGCTGATGCCCTGAATTTGGACTTGTAGCCTACTGGACTGTGAGGGAATAAATTTCTCTTTGTAAAGCCATCCGCTTGTGGTATTTCTGTTGGAGCAGCACTAGATGACTGAGACACGCCCTGTGAGGTTTCTATTATTGTTACCATTTTAAAGAAGGGGAAGCTAAGGCTCAGAAAAGTTAAATAATTTCCCCACGATCCCACAGTAGGTTAAGTCCTGAAGAAAGACAAAATCCAATCCAGGTCTTTATGACTTTGAAATCCATGTTACTACTTAAACCATGACATTTAAATATTAAATTAATGAAATGAAAACTAAAAAACATAACTTAATGAACTTTTAGTCTAGCTTCAAACATGTCAATCTTTTTAGTAGTTTTTAAACTAATATATTGTATTTGCACTTTTTCTTACATTTTCATCTGCTACGAATGCCGGCTGGGGTGGAGTTGCTGGTAATGAAACTTCTGAAGGGTCTACTTTTAGTAATCGCATGGACCTTCTGCAACCAGTCCCGTCATTTTCTCTCTTCTTAGGCTTCTTTCTAAAGGAGTGGGGGGAAAAGAAAAAAAAACCAACCAACTCATACTCACAGAACAGTGAAATGGATTTACTAATAGTGAGGAGATAATTTCTAGGAATGTATCCCATAAATACATTTGTACACTTGTACACGTCCACACTATTTTTAATAAAAAGTCTGGAAACAAATGCTCATCATGGGGAAGTGAGGGAGTTAAATAAATTACGGCATACATATATAATAGAATAACATGCAGCCATAAAAAAGAATGAGGTAGATCTTTATGTGCTGATACGAAATGAACTCTAAGATATAAGAAGCAAAAACAATGTCCAGAACATGCTGATTATGCTTCCATTTTTTTTTTAAACAAAAAGATAACATATACATTTGTACATGCTGAAATTACCTGTGAGAGAATATTCATGAAACTATTAATAGTGGTTTCTTCTAGGAAGAAGGCCTGAGAACTAAGGTCTAGGATAGGAAGAAGACAAATGTTTTATTGCTTGCCCTTTCATACAGCTTACTTTTTTAATCATATACACACCCTATTTTTTTAATGTACTATTTTTTCATTTAAAAAAAAAGAAGTTCATCAAAAAACACTGGGGAAACAGAAGCCTGTCAACTACAGTCCATATGAGTTCTGAAAAATTAGTAGTAACTATTATTAAAAGTATACTATGTGATAGAAACTATATGAAGCATTCAATATCTCACTTCATCTTCCAGAAAAGCCTAAGCATATGAAATAACTTAGACTCACACACTGCTAGTGGGAACCCAACTCCTAGAGAAACTCTTAAAGTACATGAGCACCAAGAGACTTAAGTGTGTTCAGAGGAGCACTCTTCATAATAATGAGAATCTAAAAGCAACTCAACCATCCATCAACAGTACAACAGATAAATTGTAGTATACAGTGGAATATAATACAGCAGAAAAAAAAATGAATGAAATAAAGCTGTACACATTAACATGGATGAATTTAGAAACATAAAGATGGGGGGAAAAAAAAAAGCCCAGAATATATAAATGGCATCACACTGTATGTGAACATCAAACACAAGGAAAACTAAGTAATATATTATTTAAGGATATATTCATAGGTAGCGAAACTATAAATAAATGGAAGGAATAATTATCACAAAATTCAGGATATTGGCTGTATCTGGGGTGAGAAGTATACATGGGCCTTCAAAGGTACTTTAACTTCCATTAACCTGGATGGCAGGTACATGGGTGCTTGTATGATCACTCTTTCAGCTATGTTGTTGTTGTGTGCTGTCAAGTCCATTCGGACTCCTAGCAACCCTGTGTGACAGAGGAGAAGTGCCCCATAGGGTTTCCTAGGTTATAACCTTTACACGAGCAGATTGGAAGGTCTTTTCTCCCTAGGAGCCAATGGTGGGTTCCTAGCACCGACCTTTTGCTTAGCAGCTGGGCGCTTAACCATTGCATCACCAGGGCTCCTCTTTCAACTATATGAATATGTTAAATGTACTTCTTCTGTACATGTAATATATTTAATAATTTAAAGCCCTCGGGATTAACATAATGCCAATTTCACAGATGAGGAAAGAGACTCAAAAATTATGTAAACTGTCCAAGGTTAACATCACAGCTATAAGTGGCTGAGCCAAAACTTGAACCCAAGTTGTGTCAAATTACAACAGCTGGGCCCTTTTCTCTATATAATACCACACTAGCAGCTTGATACTCTCTAAGTACGAGGAACAAATCACCAGTCTTGGCTAATAAAAAACATGCAAATGTAGAGCCACTCTTCAGCTGGCAACAGAACTAGTACTGTTGTTTTTCCAATGTTAATGATATTTCTTTTCACACTCATGAATACCTGACCTTGATTAAAGGCTTAGCTTTTTCACGCTAACTGACCTGTAATAGACTCAAACCAATCAAATGAGCTAATGATGTCAAGGATTTAATTTCTTCACTTATACATAAACACTATTACAATGTAGTGGAGTGGTGAGAACTCAAGCTAAGGAATCTGATAGATGAAGCTGCAGGAGCTACCACTTATAAGCTGTTTTGCTCTTGAGTAAATCACTTCACCTCTTAGAGCCTGTTTTCTAACTCACAAAATGGATGTATTACCTACCATATATGGTTACTGTCAGAATTAAATGAGATAATACGGGACAAAATTTCTAGGTCATTGCACTGTGTTTCACAGATGCTCAATAAATGTTAATTTCCTTCCTTTATTCTTGGAATTGGAAAGATAAACTGAGAAGCAAAAGGACAGCCAGCAAAATAAAAAGTAGAAGCATCTTTAACAATAATCGTTTTCTAGGCAAAAATAAGAATAACTTAGTGGAAATAAAGATTTTCCTCCATTAGCAGAACAGTAAATATAAACAAAATTCCACTCTGGAGATTCTATTTGCTGTATATTCCTTGGATGAAGATGAGAACTGTAAAGTTATTAAAAGACAATTTTCCCCTAAAAGACCCTATAGAGATGAAGACTAAATTACAGAGTTTTCTGTTTTATTAGTTTACTATGCCAAAAACAGTTTTTCAAATTATAAAGCAACTCAGAAGTATATCACGATCCAGGCATTATAAACAAAATCTTTTACCTCTTGGATTCAGAAGGCTGCCTCTTCTTTATCATTTCACGGAGTCTTGCAGCTGACTGCAATACACAAAATATGCTATCTTATAGCTACATAGCTTATATTTTAAAATATTAAATATCTGCTACTATCCACACACTAAACTAAGGTAGATACTGGAAATAAAGATCCTAAGATACAATACCTGCTCCTGGAAGTAGACATAAGGCAAATACACTATCAATGATAAAAGCAAGTATATAATACTGTCTAATGCCCTGGTGGAGCCCTGGTAGTGCAGTGGTTAAGAGCTCAGGGGCTAACCAAAAGGTTGGCAGCTCAAATCCACCAGCAGCTCCCTGGAAACCCTATCGGGCAGTTTTACTCTGTCCTACACGGTGCTGTGAGTTGGAATCGACTTAATGGCAACGGGTTTTTCAATGCTCTGGTGGCACAGTGATTACAAGCTTGGCTGCTAACCAAAAGGCTGCCAGCTGAATCCACCAACTGCTCCTTGGAAATCCTGTGGGGCAGTTCTACTCCATCCTATAGGATCACTGTGAGTTGGAATCAACTTGACAGCAACGGGTATTGGGTTTCTAATGTAGTGATATTCTGATACCTTGAACCAAGTTGCTAATGGGTTTATATGATTAAATATGCTATTCAATCCAATATACTATTATAAATTAAAAGGTTTAAGTTCTACAATAGGCAAACCTACTTTGATGTTTCACAAAAAGTTATAGGTTACGCTTCTATAGAAATCAAATAATATTTTCTGTTAATTAAGATCATAAGTAGAAATATTTTATCTAAATTTCTGACAGACTTTCAATCGTTAATGACTCAACAATCTAGCTCCTTTAAGTAACTAGCCCTCCCTCTCTCCAAGACGCAAACACACGCTGAATGTGTGAGAATCTGGAATTAAGAGAAATTAATTATTTAGTAAAGCCAAGGGTTTTTTATCTTTGGAGGACAAAAACACACACCCTCCTAAACAGTTATTCCCTCACACATTGAAGCTTTACTTTCAGTGTGAAGACAACCATGCAAATTACAGCGTTAGTTATGATTATAAAACATTAGCGTATATTTGGCTATTTATCCTTAAAGCTCTCTATATAAAGCATATTCCCATCTAGTCTTAAAGTTTAAGATTTAAAAAAAGAAAGAGCAGGCTTGTTCCCTCACTCCTCTACCACACATCCTTCAGTCTCCTCCCACAGATGTTCTCTTTCTCCTTTAGTTGAAGAGATCCTTTGGAACATACCATTTCTTTGCATCTAAGACAGCCAATCAAAAGATATCACTATTTTATGTACCACCAAGAAAAGGGAAAAAAGCTGCCAATTATAGTTCTAAGATGTCAACTTCAGAAACACTAAAATGTGAAAAAACATGTTTTAGAATCAATGAAATATGTATGGTAACCTCTTTCTAATAAGAGCAAAACCTACTCCTAGTTTTGCCCTTCCTTATCTGACAATACAAGACCTGATACTATAAATCTCCTATTGACCTATGTGGGAGGAGAAATAGCTTCTTGGTTTTAATTAAAACAGACTCCACACAAACCTCAGACAACTGAAGGGAAGCAAAAAAGTTTGCATTTTCTGAAATGTTCTTTAGTCTCTTCTTTTCGTATGATGACAATCCTGAAAAATCATCCTAGAAAATTACAGCAAAAAAAATTCTGTTACTTTACATAAGCCATAGCAAAAGCATCTCACAAAACCAAAGGTTTAATTCTCTACATGCATACTTTACTTCAAATTCCACCCCCTCTCTTCATTTCACGCTACCTTACCAAACAGCGCATAATCTCTGCTATATTAAATGTTGGAACCCTGGTGGCAGAGTGGTTAAGAGCTGGCAATTTAAATCCACCAGCTGCTTCTTGGAAGCCTTATGGGGCAGTTCTACTCTGTCCTATAGGGTCAATACAAGACTCCACGGCAACAAGTTTGCGTTTTTTTTTTTTCTTTTTCTATATCAAATATTGAGTGAGAGAGTTTGAATTTGGGATAATCACAAGATATTTGTATGGTGTTCCAATTAAATAAAAAGTGATCTGATATTACAAACAGTTAAGTAGTGTAATCTAATAAATATCAGTTCCTAGTGGCCATTAATTGTACTACTACTCAAAAGTTTGGTTTTTTTTCCCTAAAACTTTAATTTTCATTGAACAAAAAAACGTCCATTAAACATGGCAGAGTGAATAAATGCATTCGGCTCTACTTCCTCCTAAAACCCCATTAATATGACAGTAAACTAATTTAAAAAAAAATCCTCAGAGATATCAGAGAAGACTGCGTGTTCATAAAATAAGAGCAAAAGGGAAAATTCAAAGAACAAGAAAGAACTCAATAACAGAAATTTTAAAATTCATTGAAAGCTTAAGGAAATTTAGAAAGTAGAACAAAAAAAAAGAGAGATAAACTGCTGGGCAAAAAAGACAAAAAAAGCTAAAGAATCAATCTTGGAAGTCTAATATACAACTAGTAGTTCTAGGGAAAGAAAAAGAGAACAGAGAAAATAAAGGAAAGGAAATTATTACAAAAATAATACAAAAATGTTTCTCAAAACTGAAGATGAGTTTCCAGATTAAAAGGGTCCAGTGAGTATGCATAAAGCACAATGAATGAACACAAGACCCAGAAGCAGGTACGTCATGGAAAATTTTCCTAACACCCTGATATGATGCAGTGAAAAGGGGACATTACCTCTCTGGTGTCCTTCCCCCAAAACGCAAAACTTCAATGTAATCATGAGAAAACATCAGACAAACCCAAACTGAAGGACATTCTACAAAATAAATGTCCAGGACAAAAAGTGTCAAAGGTCACTGAAGAACTGTTCCAGATTGGGTGGGGGGCCTCGAGTCATGACAACTAAATGTACTGTGGGATCCTGGATGGGAAAAAGGGCATTACTGGAAAAACTGGTAAAATCCTAATAAATTCTGTGCTTTAGTGAATAGTACTATACAAAGGTTAATTTCTTAGTTTGATCGATGTTTTATAACTATGTAGGGAAGCTGAGTGAAAGGTACATGGGAACTCTCTGTACTATTTTTGCAACTCTTCTGTAAGTCTAAAATTCTTTCAAAATTTGAAAAATTAACTGTAAAATGCTTACAAAATGAAAATATTTAATAAAAGGACTGAGAGATAACATTTAGAAAATTTCCCATAAAATAGAATAAAATCCTTGACTTAAAGGGCAAGACTCTTTTCTGTGATGTGACAAAAGCCTTTTCCTTCATTTAGGAAGGAGCCCTGGTGGCACAGTGGTTAAGAGCTCGGCTGCTAACCAAAAAGGTCGGCAGTTGGAATCCACTAACCGCTCCTTAGAGACCCTATGGGGCAGTTCTACTCAGTCCTATAGGGTTGACTCAATGGCAGTGGGTTTGGGTTTTTTTTTTTTTTTTTTGGTTAAGCTTATAAACTAAATACTGTTTCCAAAACATGGTACTACAAAGCCTTAGTCACTGTACTCCAAAAAGACCACTAATGCACGGGAAGAGAACAAAAGAATGAAAAGCTCTATTAAAAAAGTTGTATCTTCAGTTTGTCCTAAGAAAATGTCTAGTGGGCATTTACGACTCTGCTTGACCATCTCCAGTGCTCTAGTACTCACTACTTCATGTTCTAATTTTGCCCCTATTTCCTTATATCAAACTAAAATCTGCCTTATATTAATCTCACACACTCAGGATCTTACAGACTAAGAGGCCAAATAAATAATCTAATCCAGTGGTTCTCAAAGTGTGGGCCCAGAATAGCAGCATCACTGTTTCTAAAAAACTGTGCAAATTCTATGTCCCACCCCAGAATTTTAGAATCAGAAACTCTAGGGGATAGGGCCCAGCTATTGTGTTTTAACAAGCCCTCCAGGTAATTCTGATGAAGGCTAAAGTTTGAGAACCACTTATCTATTCCAACCCCCACACAGTAAAGGTGATTCCCCTAAAAGGCATAAGGTTCCTTACAGGCGGCCTTGCCTAGGTGCCGAAGCTCCCAAACTCCCCGGTTCAACTTGCTTATGAATTAGCCCCTACTGCCCCACACCAGGTCCTGGTTCTTAACTCCGGGACAAAAAAGCAAAAACCTAACTCCTATTGCACAATGACAGTTATTTCCATTATCATAGCTCCCTTCCCCTACCATCATTTTCTGTTTTCTTAGTTCCATCAATTTTTTGTCACGTGGTGTGGTTTCATCTTGTCCTGCACTAAAATTTGTCACTTTGAACAGAGCGTAACACTTAGGTAGGAAGTAGAAGCCAAATGAATTAGATACCTAATTCCTTAAACTGATTTGAACTATTATTTTAAATACAACAGGTAAGCATTTCTCGTGTATCTTCTCTACTCCAAGATTTGTCTCCTTTTTGTATTTTAACTGAAATATTATTCAGCACATTTATGCAATTAATGATAGTTTTCCTACCCATCAGGGGTCACTCAAGCACCCTATGTCCAACTTCTGGTACACTGTGCTTAAACAGGTAAAGGTGGGCAAGTCACCATAAAGAATGGCTAAACCCAAAAATATATGCAATAAATGGCAAATGTTTGTATATATTGTTACCACAAGGAAAAAAAAATGCAATAAGCTGAGAGGGGACAAAGGGAAGCAGAGTGAAGATTAAGTCAATTGTCTTTGACACACCAAAATCAAGTACAAAATTAATCCAAGTTATTGGTTAAACATTAAAAATTTTTTTCAATTAAACTTAAATCAGATGATAAAATAATCTGAGCTAAAGAGACCCTTGATAGCCTTAGTTTATCAGAATTTCAAATTTCAAAACAATAAAACTTAGAACAAGCTACCAATTAAATTCATACCAGGCCTGGTGTGGTATCTTCATTGCTGTCTCCATCCTGACTGCTCTCCATATCAGCACTGACCATCACTGCATCCAAAGTGCTCTTGTGCTGTCCCGTGTTACTTTCAGGATGAACATCTAAGGACGACTTTTGCAGAGTGGATTCTGCCCTGGAAGATGTGGCTTCCATCTTTGGAGTTAAAATCCCTCTGCCAGATTTCTTTATTTCAGTCTTCTTACACAGCGGCACATCGTTAGAATTCTTTTCTAACAGGGATTTGGGGCGCTTAAATTGGTCTAGCTTGTCACTACTGAGTGAAAAGGCAGCCAGGTGAACCTTAACAGTTTTTTCTAAAACTGTCGTCGGTATTGGTTTCAGAGACACGTAGGGAATGTTTTGGTTTTCTTTACAGTCATTTACCTAATCAGGTCAATAAAAGGAAAGGAAAACAGTATTAGAATCTCAGGTCCTGTGACTTTTCTTACCAGGTCCCCAACAGATGTCTGTAAACAAGCCTAATTTCTATTTTATGATACCAACAGAAATCCAGACTGATAGCCTTTAAGGAAAAACTCCAAAATCTAGATATCTAATTCATTAAACTAAATGGAATTACGGCATTTATCATACAGGGCACACACATTTCTTGGCCAATAATAATAATGACTACCATTTATAACTGATGAGACCACCCCAGCTGTCAACTTCCGAGTGACTCTGGGGTGTGAATCTGGTAAAAACTGCTGCAAAAGCAAATGCAGGTGGCAGAAAGGGACCCCTAATCCGGGGTCACTCTGTTCAAAGTGACAAATTTGCCACTACTGTATTTGTAGGTTATTGATAAGAACCTTCCTCAATGCAGAGGGCCTAGTTTTCTATAGAGGAAAATCAGGCCAGGAATCCCAGCTTATTTTTTTTGAAGCAACACCCAGAAAAGCTCAGCAAGCGGAGAGATGCCCCAAGTGGCGGGAAATAGTTTTGGGGTGGAGAGGTGTCCCGTGCCAGGTCCCCGTGCCCTGCCTGGCCTGTGCCTGGCAGATCTTTCATGAAGACCCCAAGGCTGCGGCAGAACACCGGGAAGCGTCAACCCGTTTCTCACCCTCACCTGGGGTCGCTGCCTGGAAGCCGCCTTCTCGTGGGCTGCGGCGCAGGACCCAGACATCTTCCCGCGGCTTAGCAGCTGTTGCCTTCCCGCCTAGAGCTCGGCGGGAGTCGGCCAGGGGCGGGGCCGGACCGGGGGCGGGGCCTGGCGGGACGTGGGCGGGGCCTGGGGCACGGGAGGCTGCAATCCCGGTCCCGAGGCGCAGCCTGGCTCAACTCGCAGCTGGCCTGGGGGAGCCGGGCATTACTGGAGTTTTGTAAGCAGGCGGGCTTACCCGCCTCACTCCAAGATTCAAATTCGTTAGGGGTGCAGTGGGACCGAATCGACATTTTTACCTTGGATCCCGGTGATTCTGAAGTTCATGGTGCCGGGCTCTCGCTTTGAAAAACACTGGCACTTCTCTACTGAGGAAGAACCACCTTGCCTTGTAATGAGAGGCTGCAAAAGATTCAGACGTACTTCGATTCCCTAGAGAATGGAGGGAAAAGGCAATCGAAATCTACATGCAGCCTTTATTTCCGCCCACCTGACTCCTTCTCACCCCAGAGAATTATGCCCTATTGCATACTATTGGGTCTTCTTCCTAGGAAGGAAGCATTCTAATTTTTTTTCAAAAGCTGAGAAATTGGTTTAAATTTCACCTTCTGCCCATCTGCCCACCTGTTAACTAAGAACCTGATAATGATGACTTTAAATGGCCTAAAGCCTGGAAAAAAGTTGTGAATCAAATAGTTTGTATATCACAAAATAACCAAAGAAGATTTTAGCGCACCCTATTTCTTACACTCCCAGCCATATTAAACCTTTTTTCTATCCTCTGGGTCGCTGTGAGCCAAAACAATTGCCTTCACATCAGATTTACTTCCTCTGGACAACGTGATTTTTTGAGCTGGCAAATTCATTATAAAAGTCTGTCTATTATAGTTTCAAGGTCCTTTTCTTTCTAGCCCAAAACTGTACCCCTGGTTAGTTACTTGGGCCCCCCACTGTTCCTTGTTTGAAGCTTGCCCAGTTTTATTTCTTCTCTCAGCCTAGGCCCAATTTTAGAACACAGGTGAAATAATTTGAGAATTAGTCATATTACTTAACAGCACTTTCAAGGCCCTTCATGATCAGGTACCTGCCAAACTTTCACCACTTCCTGTCTGTAAAATTACTAATTGGTAAAACCAGACTTTATATACCATGCTATTTCTGGCCTTCCAGACCTTGCTCATGCTGTCCCTTCTCTCCCTCACCACGTCATTTATAAAGTCCTTTCTACAATAAAATAAGCAACATCATAATAAATGGCGAAAAGACTGAAGTTGTCAAGGGTTTCGTTTAACTCGGATCCACAATCAATCCCCATGGAAGCAGCAGTCAAGAAATCAAAAGACACATTGCACTGGGCAAATCTGCTGCAAAAGATCTCTTTAAAGTGTTGAAAAGCAAAGATGTCACTTTGCGGACTAAGGTGCGCCTGACCCAAGCCATGGTGTTTTCAGTCGCCTCACATGCATGTGAAAGCTGGACAATGAATAAGGAAGATCGAAGAATTGTCGCCTTTGAATTGCGGTGTTGGCAAAGAATATTGGATATACCATGGACTGCCAAAAGCACGAACAAATCTGTCTTGGAAGAAGTATGACCAGAACGCTCCTTAGAAGCAAGAATGGTGAGACTTTGTCTCACACAGTTTGGACATGTTATCAGGAGGGATCAGTCTCTGGAGAAGGACATCATACCTGGTAAAGTAGAGAGTCAGCGAAGAAGAAGAAGACTCTCATCAAGATGGATTGACACAGTGGCTGCAATAATGGGCTCAAGCATTACAATTATGAGGATGGCACAGGACCGGGCAGTGTCCCGTTCTGTTGTACATAGGGTCGGTATGAGTCAGAACCAACTGGACGGCACCTAACAACAACATGGTAAAATGTGTTCTGACTTCCAGTTAGCCAGTTTTTTTACACGACCCAACTAGAAAATTGGGACTGCTTGTTGTGATTCTAGAAGTCCTTGAAGATTTTTCCTAAATACAATTCAAGCTTGAAGATGCGAGCCTTTTAGCAATTCTTCATACTCCTTATACAGGGCTAAACTGGTGAACACAGCAAGTTAAAAAACCAGTTGTGGTGGAGTTCACTATGACTCTTGCGACCCCCTGTGTGTCAGAGTAGAACTGTGTCCATAGGGTTCTCAGTGGCTGATTTTTTGGAAGTAGATTGCCAGGCCTTTCTTTTGAAGCACCTCTGACTGGACTCATCTCCAGCCTTTTGGTTAGCAGCCAAACATGTCAACTGTTTGCACCATGCAGGGACTCTGAACACAGCAAGTACTTAATAATTATTGACTGATCAACATACACACACTTTCCAGCCAGAAATGTATTTTAAGAGGTGGCCCCATAAACTAAAAGAACTTGAAAGCCTAAAATTGAAGTGTTGAGATTTCAGGCAACCGCCCAGGCCTCTTGGAGGAAATTCATTTATTTCCTTTTATCTATTTTTTGCCACTGGCCTAAATCACCACCACCTGCCATCATATGACATAAATATGCCGCACCACCGCCCACCCCGGCCTCATCAATTGAGCTAATCAGGTGCCATTATTAACAGAATTTCTATTTCGATCCAACCCTAATCCTTCCGGGTTTTCAACAATATACACACAGACCCTCATTATCCGCCCAGTTTCGCACTCATCACTATACCATTCCCTGGGCTTCAAACCAAACTAACAAGCGAAACCTTTAATTCGGACCTCCGTCCCCGCACGGCTTTGACTGCACGCCCAAAGGAAGCAATTTCCCGCCAGAAGCGGCTTCCAAATCCTGGGAGATTGAGAACGCGAAGGCAGCCTATGAACATGCGCAGTAACAGACTCGACCTACTAGGCGAAAGCGCTCAGAAGGCCTCCAAAATCCCACAATCCTCTTGACACGTACTTCCGGTTTGTCTAGCTCAGACGTAAGTGGTTTTCTATTCGTCGCGCAGCAGTGTCCTGTGGATCTAGACGGGGAGGTGTATTTTCTGGTCGTTGACGCTGTCGGTGTTTATTGTTTGGGATTAGTCAAGTTTAAGGAGTTACCGCCGCTGCCATCAACATGTCGGTCCCAAGCGCACTCATGAAACAACCGCCTATTCAATCTACGGCTGGGGCCGTCCCGGTCCGCAATGAGAAAGGTACTGTGCTGAGCCCCTTTACAGTCGTATCTTACCTCTTCCTTCCCCAGCATCTTCCAAACCTTCTCCTGGCCGACGACGCCAACCTCCCCTCCTCCCGACCCTTAACACCTGGTCCCCAGTTTCTGTAGCCTTCCCACCCTAAACTCTCACCCAGCCGCGTTGTCTAGGGGAAGAGAGTGGGGAACCCGTTTGTGTCTGATTTTTTTTTTCGTGTGGCGTCTCTACTCTCGCATACAGCATCCCACTTCCCCTGACCTCCATCAATTCGTTAGATTAATATATATTTATATATATATAGACTAATGTATGTTTGCAGGGCGTTGTGCGGGATACAGTCCTTCTTTTGTTCTCCATAGCAATATGTTTATGCTTTTATGAATTACCAACATATTTATGTGTCTCTCTCTCCTTGCTGTTAACCTCGTTGAGGCAGGAACCATGCTTTATTTCAACTTCTTATCACTTTCAACCAATGCAGTGCTGTATTTATTAAAATGAATACAAAATTATGTAAGACAGTGCCCCTGACCGTAAGGAACTCACATTCTAGTTCTGTTTAGATGTAAGACATGCAAAAAAGTAACACATTCTAAGTAGTGGATATCTAGTCTTTCCACCTGTAATACTTGTCATATAGGTGCTATAAACCAAGCGTTGTGGGAAGGCAGAGAAGAGATCACTTCAGATTGGGGTAGTCAAGGAAACTTTTTGAAGAAGGTGGCATTGAAGTTGAACCTTAAAGAATGGGTAGCATTTCAGTGCGTGCAGATGGAAGAACGAACAACATACCTGTTTGGGGGTCAGAGTTTTTTCAGTAAAGATGTTGGAAAATAATAACAATTATTTCTTTTTGTTTTTAAAAATATACTGTACCTATTTTTGTGCAACTTGCTTTAAAAAAATGGCTTTTGAGAATTATCCTTGGGACACATTAGATGGAATTCATTTAACTGCTTATGAACTCCATTGGATAATTAAACCAGTTTGTCTGTTCCCTACCGAGGGACAGTTAGTTGTGTTTTTTCCTCCTATTGCAAAAATGCTGCAATTGTCATTCTTAAACATGTGTCTTTAGTTCCCTTGTATGAGAAGTTTTCTAGGGTAGACGCTAGAATTTCATCAGCTTCGCTTATTGCCAAATTGCTGTCCAAAGTCAGTTGTAAGAATGTAACAGTTTTTGTTTCCCTGTATATTCATCCACACATTTGGTTGTATAAGATTTTTAAATTTGTACCCAATCTAACAGGTGTGAAATGGTGTCATTTTAATTTGCGTTTCCCTGATTGCTAGTGAGGATAGGCATCTTGTTCGTTTTTTTATTGGCTTTCTGGGCATTCTCTTCTAGGAATTACCTGTGTCTTGTTACTTGCCCATTTTCTATTTGGTTGTGTTTTTATACATTCCAAACCTGTAATATATTTTTTTCCTCATTTTTTTGCTGCTTTTAACTTAAATTATGGAGTCTTCTGTTACAGTTTCAGTTTTAATGTAATCATATTTATTAATCTTCTGTGTTTTGGGCTTTTTTGTATATTGTTTAAGAAATTTTTCCCTACTTTGAGATCACAGATATTCCAATTATAAAGATTTTCTAAGATGTAAATGTTTGTGTATACTAAATAGGATTGAATACACAATTACAAGACAGGCTCTAAGTTAAGGAGCTTGCAGTCCAGTAGAGGATGTAAATGTTTAAGATATATCTTTCACATTTAAGTTTTTAATCCATCTGGAATTGTGTGCGTGTGGTATGAGTTAGGGATATGATTTTACCTTTTACCTCAAGGTTAACCAATTGTCCCTACTCCATTGATTGAATAGCCCATCCATTTGCCACTGATTTTTAATGCTTCTTGTGTAATATGGAAACCCTGTGGCATAGTGGTTAAGAGCTACGGCTAACCAAAAGGTCGGCCGTTTGAATACACCAGGTGCTCCTTGGAAACCCTATGGGGCAGTTTTGCTTTGTCTTATAGGGTCGCTATGAGTCAGAATCAACTCTATGGCAACAGTTTTTTTTTTACTTGTGTAATATACCAAGTTCTCATATGGATTTGTTTCTCTGCTCTTTGCTGTCTTCTTTGGTCTCTGTGTACCCCTGAGTCAATGACATACTGCTTAAATTCCTCTAAATAACCCTTGCTGTCTGGTGCAGGAGCACCCACCACTGCTTCCACATTATTCGTCTTCAGAATCGCCTTGGCTCTTCTTTTATTTTTTTTAAATTGTTGTACTTTAAGTAAAAGTTTACATTTTAAGTTAGTCTCTCTTACAAAAATTTATACACACATTGTTATGTGACCCTAGTTGCTCTCCTATACTGTGATAGCACACTCCTCCTTTCCACCCCGGATTTCCCGTGTCCATTCAGCCAGCTCCTGACCCTCTCTGCCTTCTCATCTCACCTCCGGACAGGAGCTTCCCATTTAGTCTCATGAATCTACTTGAGCTAAGACGCACACTCTTCACGAGTATCATTTTTGTCCCATAGTCCAGTCTAATCTTTGAAGAGTTGGCCTCGCGTATGGTTTTAGTGCTGGGTTGACAGAGAGTCGGGTGGCCATGCTTTCTGGGGTTCCTCCAGTCTTAGTCAGACCATTAAGTCTGGTCTTTTCACTAGAATTTGAATTCTGCACCCCACTTTTCTCCTGCTCCATCAGGGACTCTCTGTTGTGTTCTCTGTCAGGGTGGTCATTGGTGGTAGCCAGGCACCATCTAGTTCTTCTGTGTCTTGGCTCTTCTTGATCTCCTGTTCTTCCACATGACTTTAGAATCAGCCTAGGGGAAACTTTTAATGGAATTGCATTAAAATTATAGATTATAGATTTGTAGATTAACTCAGCACAACACAGCTGCCCTCTTCTCATCCATGAACACGATAAAATTCTCCATTTATTTCGATCTTTTATATCTTTTGATACAATTTTATATTTTTCCTCCTAAAGGAAACACTGATAAATTTATTTCTAGGTAACTTATAGATTATTTGCTATTGTAAATTATATTTTTTAACTATTTTTAATTATATGTAGTCAATGTACAGGTACACTTTTTTTTTTTTTAATAAATCCAATCTTCATTTGTCTTTGGGGATTGAAAACATTACATATAAACTTACAGATATACTTTAATACATACATATGTAACAAAATACACAAATCATAAAAATTTACTCCAACGATGAAGAAGAGTTGGACAGTGTTGTCATTTTTTCAGATGCAGTAATAATTCCACTTATGAAAGGTTCTGGATCATCTGGATTATCCCTGGGAGTGGTGATGACATTTCTAGTCAGAAAATTAGTGAGAGTTGTCTATATGGTCATTTCCTTTTTTTCTTCGTATATTTCACATAACATCTCACTGCTTCCTGAATCTGCCTGTCGACTTTAGCAAAGTGATCAGTGTTTAGGTCCATGTTTTCAAGCAACTGAAGCCCCAATTTAGTTTAGAAAAGATTCCAGCTTATCCTTTCACTATATTTTTTTGACAACTTCTCTCCTTCCTTCTCCTTCTTCCTCATTAAAAAAAAAAATTGGTTTTAAGTGTGGTTCTCTGGAACTCAAGTACATTGTAAGTCAGGGACTACCTGTACATTATTTGGATTTTCTATAATTTTATTAACTGTCTCCTTGGTTGGGAACTTTAGGTTTGTTTTTTCAATTTGGAGACATAAATATTTGATAATCTTTGGTTATTCCTTTGGTTAGTGTCCTAAAAGTGGAATGCTGGGTTTAAGGACCACTTTTTTTTTTTAATTGATGTAATTAAATGAAGTTTACTTTTCAAGTTAGTCTCCCATACAGAATTTTTTTTTTTTTAACATATGTTGTTATGAGACCGCAACCACTCACCCCATTCTGCGACAGCACAGTCCTCCCCTCCGCCCCTGATTCCCCATGAACATTCAATCAGCTCCTAACTCTCTCTGCCTTCCCCTCTCACCTCTGGACAGACGCCGCCCCTTTGGTCTCTCGTATCTACTTGTCTAAGAGGCATATTCTTCATGAGTATCACTTTATGTCCCACAGTCCAGTCCAATCCCTGTCTGAAGAGTTGGCCTCGGAAATTGTTGTAGTTCTGGGGTGATGGAGAGACCAGGGGCCATGCTTTCCGGGGCGCCTCCAGTCTTAGACCATTAAGTCTGGTCTTCTTACTAGTATTTGAGTTCTGCATCCCATTGTTCTACTGCTCCATCAGGGACCCTCTGTTGTGTTCCCTGTCAGGACGTTCATTGGTGGTAGCTGGGCACCATCTAGTTCTTCTGGTCTCAGGCTGATGAAGTCTCTGGTTTATGGGGCCCATTCTGTCTCTTGGGTCAATACTTTCCTTGCATCTTTGGTGTTCTTCATTCTCCTTTACTCCAAGTGGTTGGGACCAATTGATGCATCTTAGATGGCCACTTGCAAGCTTTTAAGACCCCAGATGCCACTTACCAAAGTAAGATGCAGAACATTTTCTTAATAAGGTTTGTTATGCCAATTGAGGACCACTTATTTTTATATACAGATCTTTTATCCAACATTCGTCTTGAACTTTCTTAGTTTATCTGTTGGTTATCTTGTTATCTTCTACATAGACAATCATATGGTCTGCAAATTATGGCAGTTTCTTCCTTTTCAATCCTTACGCCTTTTATCTTTTTTCCTTATTGCCCTAATTAGAACCATAATACAGT